CCTGTCTTCACTATCTCGAGATTGCCAAATATCCAGCTATTTGAACTATCCCGATCGCAAACTATCCAGCTAATTTGCGTCCTCATCAGACCAAAGTAGCAATTAGCTGGATATTTGGTCGGGATTGTCATCCCAAGATATCTTGGGATAGTTTGCAAAATATCCCACTATTTGTCCTGTGCATCTTCACTAGACCGAAGACTCGCACTATGCACTAACGCTGAGCAAAATATCTCGAGCTAATTTCTCAAGGTCGAGTTTCAAGTTTCGAGGTTGAATCGGGATTATTTCCCAAATCAGAAATAGGGGGCTATTTGGCAATGTCGAGATGATGAAGATGCGCCTAAAGATTTCTTGGGGGAGAGATTGTTCTCTTGGGACTCTCTTATGAGTTTTATTATTTTAGATGGATATACAGGTAAGTCAGATTTGTTGCCAAAGAAAAGGGATAATTTGAGTCTTGCATTTCATGAAAAAACAATGGAAAACCATTTTGTTATAAGGCCAAATTAAAAAAAAAAACATGTTTAGCGTCCTGTTTTTTTGAAAAATAGGAAGGAGGAGGCCCTTTTTTTTTTTTTTTTTCTTTCAAAATGGCCGCTCAAAATGGCCGCTCGGTACATTTTCCCTGACATTCGGGCTATTTTTCAAGATGGCGGCTGACATTTTTTTTTTAATCAGAAATAGTTTCATTTTAGTAGTGTTTTTCCATGTTTTTTTTCTTTGAATTTTTTTTTTTTTAAATTTCAACAAAAAAAAAAAAAAAAAATTAGGAGGCGGCCCCCAAAAAGGAAGCGGGCGGGGACGCTAAACATGTTTATTTTTTTTAATGGCCTAAATATAAAATGTTTTTTCAGGAGTTTATGTTACAGGGGATTTGGTTGGTTCACTGGTTGTTTGGTTTGTGAATAATGCTAAGAAAGTAACCAGGAGACAGACGGCTTTAAGTTTAAAGATTAATGCCTTACATGTATTAGCAAAGGGCCCTAGCGAGACCACTGCTCTACCAGTGAGCCATCGAGCCTCACTTATAATATCTATAGCTACATGTTGTATGTAGATATATTGTATCTGTGTTTGTTGTTAAACTCTGAGCAACCGCCCAAGATCAGCTTATAAAACCTGCCCTATTTATTTGCTAACCAGGTGAATCCGAGGCCATGTGACATGTATTTATGGTGCCTATAAAATATTATGGAGGAAACATCATCTTTGCTAAAGAGTACAGTCTCTTTATGACACACGTACACCTCTTTTATAAGAAATCTTTGCAATATTGCTTCCTTAATAAAGGCTGCATTGTACCTCTTTTTTTTATAAGACGCTTACCCGTACTTATTATTGGTGACCTAGAACTTTTAGAGTTGAGGACAATACATAGAAAATATAATTTGTATGAACATTGGATGACTTGCGAAGAGTCCTTTTACACTACCTTCATGAAGTCTTGTATAATCGTGAATCCATGTATCTTATTTTAGATATTGAGACCACTGCTCTACCGACTGAGCTATCGCAGTTACAGTTACTGTACAACCAGAAATTTTCTTCAGGGACCCGTTTCACAAAGCCTTTTTTCAATGACTTTTGACAAAAATCAGTGACAAATCTGCTGATGTAACCAATCAGAAGCAATGATTTCACTAGCTTATAAAAATAACTGTCATTTGTCACTTATGACAAGTTTTGTGAGATGGGGGCCCATATCATTCTCTATTTTCATTCTCAATAAAAACATCATACAGGTGGGGGGACAAAATAGAGAAATCTATTTTCAAAGCATGAAAGTTTCACAAATTTATGCAAACCTTTATGTGAGATTTGTGAAATTTTCGGGGTATACAGCATAGGGACCTAATGATGCATTTGGTATATTGTACACTTTATGACAGACACAGTGTTTAATTGTATGACTGTCCATATAACCAATGAGTTATAACTCCTTGTCATACATGTAACTAACCAGTAACTATTAAAGGGCTACCCCACCTCTTGTAATACATGTACAGTACACTGTACGTTCATTTGTATGAAAAATTAGAGAAAAAGAATGGCGAAATTGTGAAATAAATTGGGCCAATAATATTATAAGAAAGTTATGAATGTTTTAAATATGTGATCACCAAGTCTGTGCGAAACTCAAATTGGCACTTTGGCAGTTTGGTCAGTGGATTGTAGAGCATAGTGAATCAGGATTTAGTCGCGGATATCTCTACTATTTTTCCATATTACAAAATATCATTAAATTTTGTTACTCCTAAGTGCATTTTAAAAGTTCATATCTTTCTCATTTTTTGTCTGACTTCAAGTTCATTCAAACTCTCAGCAGTATGCTTCTCTGATTTGTATGCTTTCCTCTAGAGTAGGTTATCAAGGTTGGATTTCCCTTTCAAAGTAGAACAGTTTTCAATTCCTAAGTAAATACTACATTAACTGTATGTCATGCTGAGCATGAATGATGAGACGAAAAGGCCATTAAAAAAAAAATATGTTTAGCTTCCTGCCTTTTTGAAAAATAGGAAGGAGGAGGCCCTTTTTTTTCTTCCAAAATGGCCACTCGGTTTATTTTCCCTGACAGTCGTGCTATTTTTCAATATGGCCGCCAGCATTTTTTTTATTAAAAAAAAAAAAAAAAATCAGAAATAGACCATTTTAGAAGTTTGTTTTTCATGTTTTTATTCATTATTTTTTTTTGTTAAAGGAGGCGGGCCCAAAAAGGAAACAGGCGCAAAAAGAAACAGGCAGGGACGCTAAACATGAATTTTTGTTTAAACGGCCTAAATATCACAAATGATTGCATTTTTATGCTTTTCTATTCCAATCTGTTTTTATTTTAAAACACGTTTATTACTTATGTCAGTTTTATCGCACCAAGTGTAGAAGTGATAATGGATGTACAGTGTGCATTTAAGAATGTATGAAATTGCCAGTGCACTTACTCTCACTGTATCATACACGGTACAATTTTCTTGATGAAGAAGAAGAAGATCTGTTCCGATATCTCACTCATACATACGTAATACAGATCAACAATAATGTGTTTAGAGTCCCTGCATCGTTGTTTATGTTTGGCAGGAGTGAGTAGAAGAAGGAAGAAGCACTCCAAGCTATTATTTCAAGGTGGATTATATATTCTACGTCAGACTTATTTTAGCTCGCAGGGTCAAGTTTGTGTGTGGGTTGCATCAAGTGCATGGCGGAGCCAATGACTTCATAATGACTTCAATGGCTATTTATATTAAGTGTTAAGCTGAAACTTGTCGCAAGTCTTGAGTTGGAATTTGCATTAAAAAACCTACAGTATGTCAACATACATTTATGTCCATAGCAATTTGTTTAATGAACATTAAAAGAATGCGCCTTTAAACTTTGTGTTTCGCAAATCATTGTAATTAATTTACACTGGACATTCCGTACATTGTAAATGATAAAAAGTCAGAGCTTTAATACATGTACGTGTGTTTATGTGATTGCTTTGGTAATGGAATTTGGGAGAAAGAAAGTGTACATGAAGGAAATAGTTGATATTTTATATATTATGTCTTTAGAGTTCTAACCTCATATTCATATAACATGATGAGAAAATAATGATGATTTTGTTTGGTCTTGTAAGTGTTGCACCTTTTCCACCATTTTGTTTCCTTCCGTTTTTTGTTTGTGTCTAGAAAATGTCAAAATCGGGGGTGCGGCCTTAACGCCGGCAAAATATGGTAGTCCTAGTTGTTTCTGTAACTACATACACGTACATGTTACTACAGTGTACTCATACCTGTCAACCCTCCCGAATAATCCGGAATATCCCGTTTTTCTGGATTTTTAGGACCCCAAAATGCGGGATATCCCGGATTTTCAAAATTTCAATTTTTTTAATTTTTTTTTTTTTATTTAATTTTTTTTTTTTTGTGGTTTGTTTGTTGTTTTTGTTGTTGTTGTTGTGTTGCTTAAGCCAAATTAAGCTTGTTTTATCATATGCCGCGATGTGAGAGTTCACGTAGTGCGTGCGTCGAAGGGCTGCATGATTGAGCAGCGAATTATTCGCTTTTTTGCCCAGATTTACAGCGTGTTGCCAGTTGCACTGCCGCTGCATGTGCGAATGCCTGTTAAGGGTACAGATTTCTTAATTTCGAAGACATAACATGCTAAAAATTCTTAATTCTCATTTTCAAATGTTGGCAGGTATGGTGTACTTACTAAAAGCCTGTGCGCTATGTATATTAACTTAACCTGTTGGCTATTGAATTCTCATATTCCAAGAGGCTTCACACTGGGATCACCCAGTTCCTATATGCAATAGGGTTAACAATTGGCTTTCTAGATGACACTGGTTGCGTTTATCTAGGAAATTTTTGGCTAGAATCAGGTTTCTCAAACGTCTTTCAGGCAAATTTAGAAGTAGATAAACGCAAAGCCTTTTTCAAACGTCTTTAGATATGGGCATATCAAAAGACGCAAAAAGGTGCGTTTTGTATGTGACATACAGCCAGAATCACGTTTCTGAGAGGTCGATAAACGCAAAGCTGTTTTGAACGTCACATACAAATAGGACCACACAGGTGTTGTGTACAAGCATGTGTGTGAATTTGACCTCCGAGAAACTGTCTGCTTCCCGGGTCAAAACAGCTGGGCAGACACAAGGCCTTTATTTTGAATCGTGAAGAGTAGATAAACGCGACATCCCGCAAATCACGATCGTATAGTGGGGTATGATAGTGGGGTTCGATAGTGGGGTACGATATGTACATATCTAGTGGCAAGCCTAGATAAACGCGCTCTTTGACAGGTTAGATGAATATGGGCCCATACATGTACATTTTTACCTACATATAGTTCGAAAACCTACTCTAATTTGTTATTATTTCATACATTTATTGATACTTTTGTGAATCTGTTTTCTTATTTCAGCTAGCATTTCCCACCTATCATAGCTTTTGCAATGCTCTTGCAATGCTCTTGTGTAACATACTGAAATACTGAATGATTGATGTTATTTTTCTTACCAGCTCCAAAGGATAATATCCAGGAGATACTTACAAGTCTGACCAGGAGAAGTAGCGTGACAAAAGGAAAGAAACTTGGACATCTCAATAATTTTGTAAAGGTATGTTTGATCATAATGTTTTTAGTCACTAAAAGATATCTCCTTCTACATGTATATATTTGTCTCTGTATGCCCCCTCTCCATCTTTCTTTATTTCCCTTTCAATACCTTTGAAAATCAACCCCCCCCCCCTTTCTTTCTCTCTTTCTCTCTATACTCTCTTTCTTTCTCTCTGTACTCTCTCTCTCTTTCTCTCTGTACTCTCTCTCTCTACTCCCTCCATTTTCTCCTGTCTGCCTCTCTGTCTCCATCTCTTTCTCCTCTTCTCTTCCCACTCACTCTTCCATATCTCTTTTTCTCTCATCTCTCTTTCTCTGTACTCTCTCTCCTTCTTCCTCTCCCTCCATTTTCTCATGTCTGTCTGTCTGTCCACCTCTCCCCCCACCCCCTCTTCTCTTCACATTTACTCTTCCCCATCTCTCTCTCGCTCTCTTTCTCTCTCTCACTTCTTCATTTCCTCTCCCATTCATTCTCTTCAATGCATGTCTGTATGCATGTCTGTCTCTCTCACTGTCTCTATCTCTTTCCCTCTCCTCCTCCCACTCATTTCCCCCTGTCTCTCTCATCCCCTCTCATCCCGGAGCATGCATCCTTGCAAACCAGGTAAATGTCACATCAGAGAAACGAACCTTGAGCAAGCAGAGGAACCAAGTAGGAATTGGGCTAAGCCTTTCTATGAGGATGCCACCCTTGTAGAATTGATTGAAATCCTCCTGTTTCACTCTGCCATTATCAAACGCTGTTGAATGAGCAATTGTCAAGTGGCCTCAATCAAGATGGTTTTTAATTTGGAGTGTGATTTCTCAACCTCATGTTTCTTTTCCTTTCACATGAACACAGCTTCATGTTGTGTGGTGTCAATATTTCCTATTTTTCACAATTTTTTAATGTCCTAATTGTATTTTTTTTGTTGATGATTTTTGTCCTTTTCAATTTGTTGCACATGTCTACATTCCATCCATATTGTAGTTACAGAATTTACTGTAGACATTTATATCCCTGCATATGTACATGCACATGTACTGTACATGGCACCTTGGCTTCCTTAAGAAAGAACAAAACATTATCATTGTTTGCAGTCAAATGTTTGCTACAGTGTATGTGGCTCAGTCTTTGTTAAAATCAAGCATCCTACATATTTTGTCATCACATTTATATAATAAATTTGAAAGTGAAACACTCTACAAAATTAAAAATAAACCAATAAACTTGCAGAACAATTCAAGAACAATTCTCTGTATGTTGTGGCAAGTCACATGATAAGTCACATGATATCAAACCAGGAAATCACTCCACCACATTCTCTGCATTCCAAGGATCTGTTTTCCCATTTACTGTAGATCTAATGAAAGGGGACATTATGAATAGAGAAGGCTAAACCATGGAGCTAATAACAGAATAGCTTCATGGTTGAACAAAGTTTTTAAAATTCAAGACTTGTCCGTTTGGTCAATGAATTTCTTGCATTTGTATTTTATTCTTTCATCTTGAATTTTCTGCTCTGAACTGGTACATTTACCCACTACCCCATATTTTTCAATGATACAGTGAACATTCATGATCTTTAAAAAATGTAGAGCACAATTTAGTGTAAAGAAATGTCATAAATTGAAACACATGTGATACATTCAAACCATGTTGCAAAACAGTTTACAATTCTCATGCTACAGTATATTAAAGACAGTCAACAAAACAGACCAGTTTACTTCCTTTATTTAAATTGTATGCATACTTTTTAACAACCTTGTTCTTGACAACCTGAATGGTTGCTGACAACGCAAGAAGTATTGAATGTATGCAGAGTGAATTCAAAGTATTCTAGTTTACTCATTAATGACAGCGTACTGGAATAACTCATCACTAGGTTCCCAAGAAAGAATTATCCATAGATTTGAATGTGTTTAATAGTTTATTACATACATGTACCGGTAGTTGACCCATAGTACCGGTACCCAATTAAACTTTGCTTGAACAATTTGTTCACAAGACCTATTTATAAATTTGTATGTTTGCACAACACCGATAATTTATTAACATGAAACTAGAATTAACAATTTATGAAACATATACTTGTAGTTTCCCTAATCTAAATGCGGAATGAATTTGTGTGTGTAGAAGTCTGAGATAATGGGGAGAGGAACAGAGAAATGGGGGCAAAGAGTAAACCAGACATTCTGTTCATAACCAAAGCAAAGTTCTAAATCTACGTTTGATTGCATGAATTGGGAAACAAGTAAAAAGGGACAATCCTGATACACTTTTTTCAAGTACACCACATAAAAACACCATTTTATAGATAACACCCTGATTCATTTTGTTCATTTTGATTTAATTGCAGATTTTTTTTTCCTTCTTCATGGAATGAATAAATTACTGGACTTAATCTACTTATATTGTCTAGTGTTGAACCCTAGACTGAAATGAGTATGTTTTAATGAATACTGGCCAGTGAGATGGTGTTTAATTTCTTTCGTACAGGTATAAAAATACCTTTTGTATGGATGTAGCATTCCCTGTTACTCCTCCGCAGTGCATTAAAATTAATTTCTCATTTCCATCCCAATATATAGTACAAAGAAATCCTTCAAATGTCAAATGAGAAAATTAGGATACATGTGTAGACCTGTAGTCTGTGTTTCTCAGACCTAGCAGATTATTCTCTGTGTGTTGCATATATAAGGAAGCATATGGCCGCTTACTTCGGCCACACCGCCAAATCGATGACTCCAGACCAACTTGTTTTTTTGTCGGTTTGACTTTGGTATCAAAGGTACTATTTAACTTTTAAAAACAATTGTAGAAAAAAATAAAGATGTTATGTGGTATTCTGTCAGTATATGCTTTACATTCAATCAATTGATTGCATGCATTTCAGACTGATGTTTTCAGACCAAACACAACAAGAATGGTGTCTGTCTTTAATGTGTGTGTGTTGGAGGTTAGAGTGAAGCCCAATCGTTTAGATTCATTTAATTGCACACTCATGTGCATGTGATTACCACAGTCTGTCTGTCTGTCTGTCTGTCTGTGTTTATGAAGGACAGCATGTACAATAATACATGCAAGTTGCTGCAGGCAATTAAAGCCAGTGAACCCATTTCAGATAAAATTACAGAAAAAAAAAAATCAAATCGTTAATGTACATGTATGCATGGTTGTGTGTACGTGGCGAATTAATTGTCTTTTCTATTCTAATATGGTCAATTAGTAGTAATCAATTTTTGATTATTATTGTTTATGGAGATGTTAATGACTTTTAAATGGATAAATTGTGCTATAAAAGATATTTTACTGATATTTTTACGAGGAAATTGAAAAAAATTGGAAAAATGCCTTATCATGATTTAAAGGCAATAATATGCTCAGAGGAAATCAGAGTGGAAGAACAAACATTGTTTTGTCATTGGAAGCAAGCCTATACATGTACAGCTTTAGATATTGGTTTGTGATTTGAAAGAATACAATGCATAAACTGCAGTCTAGCTCCTCATTCTAATTGAACCAGATTTAAAAGGAAGTTGCTTTGGTATCTCCCTTCCCTTGTCCCTATTTTTAAACCCCTGCCACCGAAGACGGTGCTAGAGGCATTTTATTTTAGGCCGTCTTTACGTCATACAATCGTAAAGTTATTCACGTATTTTCAAGAAGCCTTTGATACATGAGCTTCATAAAGAATTACTGCATCACCGTAGAAAATAGAAATGAATATATGTACACATGTATTTTGTAATGTCACAGGTCACAGAGATCAGCATAATAACACTGATAGGTTTTGACTCTGCCATCTGATGATTCTTGGCATACTAAAGATCAAATTCATCTTCTAATAGTCTCTTGGGTATGAACATGCCTTTCAAGTGTCTGGCTCTCAAAAGACAAAAAAAAAGACTAAAAGGGCATACACTGTACAGTGCTTTGGTTCAGTGTTATTTCAAAATTCATTTGTAATTGAACAGCTTTTATCGGTATTCATGTGGTTATTAAATAATCTTCATCAACCACATTTGGTAAATTAACGTAGGAAGAGGATTTACATGATGTATTGTAGGGATGAAAAGAAAAGTTTGAATGGAGTCGGGACCAGTTGGCATTTTTGACCATTTCATTTGTGGTCATCAGAGTTCATTTTACCCCTATACATCCACGTCATCTGTTGAAGCTATGGGTTCTACTGTACATGTAAGCGAAACAGATTTGATTCTTATCCATCCCATAGGGAAAGCGCTGCACATACATGTAGCCTACAGCATGCTTGTGAAGCTACATGTAGGTATACTTTGCTTTTCAAAAACATTTGAACTTTCTGTCTACTGTTGTTGTGTAGAGAGAGAGAGAGAGAGAGAGAGAGGGACAAACATGTAAGGTCAAATACTTGAAATGGCTGTAGAATGTAAGTTGGATGTTTGTGATTGTAGATGGCCAATATCCAAGAGGCATCGGTGATGACACACACATGAGAAATAGCCCTGCTTGTCTCCCGTCCATCCACTTCATTCATCATGCTCAACCTGTGTTCCCATTAGTCCAGTCAAAATATGGTACAAGCTGTAACATAGGCAGAGCTTGACAGTAACAGGTGCAGGGGACACATGGGTGCCCAAAATGTTCAGTCAAAATCCCCCAAATTTTGTACATGTAGGGCCCATGCATACAGACTCTAAAGATCTTAAGGGTAAAGACCAGTATTGGAAACGCCCCAATTTTCAAAAAATGAAATGGGAGCTCTTTATTACCAATCCGTGAAAGAATATGTTTTGACTAATACATGATGATAAAAATTTTGCCGGGAAACCGCCTACTAATTGATATATTTGGTAAATTAGTTAAATGTATTAATTGGACTGAGAGATAAATGCACGTGTCGCGCACGTGTGCGTAGTCCCATATACATCTTTCTGTGTACAGTGCTTGTAACTTTTTGAAGACTGGGCCAAATTTCTTATCATTTTGATGATTCCAGAACCTTGCAGTACACACCAATACTTATATGCTAGATGATCAACCTTTTCTGATCGATTCCACAACGTTGCTTTCATAATGCAATCGCATGACCATAACTGGTCTTTATCTTTAATCTGGACCCCATTCCAAAAAGATCAAAGTTGTAAGGTTGCATATTGAACATCATGTGAAAAATAGCTGGCAATGCATGTGTGAACACTGTATTGAAAGTAACCTGTTTTGATTATCAAAAAAACATTGCCTCATCAAGACAGTCAATACGTGATGCCTAGGGAAGTTTTGTTATTCTTAGTGCTAAAAAGCTTGAAAAAATGTCTGGACATCCATATTAATCTCTGGACCCCTCAAAATTTGTTGGCACTCCACTACTTGATCTTTTTGTTCACACTATACTACACATATAGACCATGTTTCTGTATTAAAGGCTAGTGAGAACAGGGCTACATGTATTGGTGTGCAGCTGATTCTGAATAGGCTAGACCTTGACTTTGACAGTTGTTAGGAAATCGTTTTGTTTTGGAGGAAGTGTTGGTTGTAATATATAGAACCCTCCCGTTCTTGGCAAGGGACTGTTTTATGAATTGGGTGAGGCGTTTTTTTACAAAGTTGATTGTTCTTGGTGGGAATGCTTTCATGATGTTCCTCCAGCAGCATCCATGTACTGTAACAAGTGGAGACAATAGAAAGTGAAATAAAGTGATAAAAGGTCATAGGAAATATGAGAAGTGGAGACAGAGAGACAGAAAGAGACAATGAAAGAGAGAGTGTGTGAGGAAGAGAGAGAGCGAGAGAGAGAGAGAGAGAGAGAGAGAGGGGGGGGGGGGAGGGGGGGAGAAAAGAGAGAGAGAGAGAGAGAGAGAGAGAGAGAGAGAGAGAGAGAGGGAAATGATAGAGAACTGATAGAACATGAAAGTTTTAACACTTTTCCTGCTCTTAGTCTTAGCAGACAATATTTAGATTATTAAGGTTTTCCCCAATTTCATTGCTACATATACATGTATTAAACTACATTTAAATCAGTCACCTTATTTGTTTTCAATTTTAAGCATTAGGGGGCCTCACATACATGTACATGTACATGTAGTCACATTAATGTTTTTATATTAGGGATACAGAGTGCACCAGAAACCAATTACTGTTGAGCCTTTAATGCAGGTGTATGTACCTACATGTATAGTAATTATGAAGACAAACTTTCCGTTTCTGTTGTCATTGGCTAATTGAGCTACAAACTGAGATGCATAATTTCAACTTGAAACCTTTGCTCTTTTGATCTGTAATCTTCCAACACATCAGCAGCAGTGTCGTCAACCAATTTTATATTCTAGATGTAGTGTACATGTACCTGAAAGAATGGAAGTTTGCCCGAAAACCAACTTTTCTGACAATGTGATAATTCAAAATGATACTCCTAAGCACCATAATACATTGTGATTGAAAATATTTATGATCTGCTAGATGAAATCTAATATACAATGTTTCTCTGTTTTTGTTTACCTTTGCTTTTAGCTTATCAATCATGTATCAAGCTTTGACAAGCTGGGCTATTCAGTGGCTGAGATCGTATGCTGGTAAGTACTACTCAATATTGACTGCTTGATTAGTGTTTCTCTTACCTCCAATGCAATCAACTAGAAACCCTATTACTCGTAAATTGTTTACAAATTCTGTGAGTGGTCCAGATTTTTTTCTCGCTGCCAAATGATTGAATTACGACATTGAATTTTTGCCATATGTGACAGTTTCTCAGTTTCAGAACGAGCTGCTGTTTAATAACTTTGTGTTGTTTTGCACTAAATGCTTGTTTGAAAACGCATATTAAAGCCTAGTTCATATTCATTTCAGGCTGTAGACTGCCCATCCCCCCCCCCCAAAAAAAAAAACCTGTTGTTGCAGATATATACTATTTTACAGGTATATGAATGGCAATTAGGGTGAAAAATAATGTATCTGTCCCTATAAAGTAACCCCTAATAAAGTTTATCTGTATTAATAAGAAACTAAGATGTGAAGCGCATAAATATGTCACTAAATTTTGCCATGGTATTTTTAGGTGGTTTCATAATACATCATGCATGAACAAGGCCATTGAACAATATTCATTCATATCCAAAGAACAGTAGGCCTGTTCACACATAACAATGAGTGTTTTTGGATCGCGATGCAAAGATCAATTTATTTTGGCGACCATTAACACACGGAGAATTCTCGCTTGACAGCAAGAAAGTCTGAACTACGCATGCGTGAATATCGACGATGTATATGCGCCCTTGGAATCCTGGGATTAAATAAATTGATTTTTAATTCTCAATACCATTCACACACACAGCACCCGGCAAACTATCGCGATTATTCAGAAAATCGCAAGACTTACTGCGAATTGGAAGATTAGTGAAAAATATTCTGTCCACACACGCAAAAAAGTGTTACAGGATTAAAGATTAGTAAGGCTGAAAGAATTTGTGATGAGGGGGCCCTTTGGAGGCAGTGTAAACAAGTTTGATGGTCAGTGAATTCATACATGTGAGAAGCATGAAGCGTGATGGACCAGCGGTACCCACATGTCGCTCTAAATATAGATATGAGGCAGACTCATGAAATATAGGTCATTCATACACCTTTCAACCCTCCAATGTGACCTACATTCAAACAAAATCAATGGAAAGAAAAACATGAGACTTTTGCTAGTTTTTCCTTGGCATTGACAGTGATAAAACATGGAAAATTTTCTAATGTGTATCTCGATACCATTATACTAATTAATGCAACATGAACAGAATTTTAATTCAGCCGCTCAAAAGATGTTCCTCATCTCAAAGCAATTCAAAGTCTTACATGTGCAGACTGTACAATATGTACATTGTTCATGCACTGTATGGAGAATGATACATACTGTATGATGTGAGTAGAGACAGGATGAAGACACAGATTTGAGTTGAAGACTAGCTGTGATCCTGTAACTATCTTCTTCTGATATAGAAACAGTATGTTGATTCTCCACGCATGACTGGCATGGTAAATGGATTAGAGGGAAACATACATGTATACATTCATGCTTGTGCGAAGCTCCGGGATCAATGTGAATACATGAACATTACGTGCATGCTATGCTGTGGTACATACATGTAGAAGTATAGGATGAATCTGTATTCTAGAGTTCTCTTAGACACTAATAGTGTATTCAGGTGGAAGACTTTTCCAGGAAATACCCTTTGGAGGGTTGAATAAAATAGTGCCTTTTCTTCTAAAGAGTATTTTTTTCGAGGTGAAGGTTCATAGTTGGCATCTTTCCACAAGCATGTGCAGTGGTCTGTTATCCAACAAAAATCACAGAAGTATCTTCTACATGTAGCTCACATATCTGTACATATTTGTACTTGTATTACATGTATGTGTGATGATATGTAAATGTTGTACGTGAAGACAATTTATGAACACATGCAGGAGAGTGGAGAGTCATTCTGATCATTTAATTTACTTGTACACCAATCAGAATTGATGTGAACATTATCCTAACCGAAATGGTATGAATTGCTGTCAAAGAACCTAACCGTATTAAAGTGAGTATTTTTAAAGCATGATGAAATGGCCTTTGTTCTTGACATAGCTTCTCTTATCTTTGTGTTACTGTCATCCTGGTCCTAAGGCTCTACAGTGCTAACAGAGGCAGCCATAAAGTTCGAGCCTACATGTAGCTGAAACTGGTTCACCCCAGCACGTGTACATACATGTACATATGAAGTTTAAATTTAAAGCTCTGGGATAAAAATAGAAGATTTTAGAGATTGGGCTTGCTCGTCTGTCATTGAAAAGCTCAAGTTCATGAATTGAAGACATGAGGTCGTAAGCCTTTGATACTCCTACAGTGCACATGTATGTGTATGTGGGCTAATTATGTGCTCTACCAGTCGCGTGTAGATAACAAATATTGCATGTGATTAGTTCGGTTGTAGGACACATTCTCTTGCAACAATTGCTTCACGGTCAATTAGCTACACTGACATGTACCGAATTCCTTCAACCTTGCACTAAAAACTACCTACCGGTACTGTACATGTGCAGGTATTGTATTGTATTTATTAAACTTCATTGATGTACATCAATATTCTGTTTATAAACATATAATCACATGAACATGTAGGCTGCATCTCACGAAACCGTCATAAGTACAAGTTGAGCGACATCCCATTGAAATGCGTGTTAAACTTAATACACGCATTTCAATGGGATGTCCTTCAACTTGTACTTACATGTATGACGGTTTCGTGAGACGCAGCCCAAAACCCTAAATCTTACCTAGTTCTCAACCCCATTGCAACTCTAACCTTTACCCTACTGTATATTTTTGACGATCTTTGAGTTGACAAAAGAAAGTGTGTAGAAATAGTTTGATCCGAGATCACTGTGATTTAATAATAATGATAATAATAGCTAGTTCTTATATAGCGCTTTTGCTGTGGTGACATTTTCTACCATGACATTCTTAGGTAGCCTCCACTATATGATAGCAGATACATGTACATGTATGGATTGCTACAAAGTAAAGATTTGTATTACAAGTACATTTTGAGCATAATGTAATTCAATCCAATCTGATGTTATTTGGTAAAGCACCATTCCCTTGAGCTGTTTCAAAATACTTCACAAACAGAATGGTAGGCTTAATCAGTAAAAATGATAAACACTTGAAAACATCAATTTGAGCCGATGAAGATATACTGTATGTATAGGCAGATAATTGCAAAATAAATTAATTGTTAAGTTGACTGAGATAAAACAAAACATGCAGGAAGGATGTCACATCACTTGAAACAAAATCATGTTACACACGTACATGTATGTGCATGTACTGTTCATGCTATTATACACTAAGTTACTATCTAGAGTAGATAACCGGCTCTATTTGACCTGGAAGCCAGTGACTCATAGAATAGATAGTGAAGACATTAATCATCATCTCATCATTCATGTACATGTATGTGAAACCAAGGTTCCAGTCTTCTCACATTCAGAGATCCAGAGATTATATTATACATTATTACAGATACATTATTGATCCCCTACATTTTGAAAATAATAATTTAAGACTAAAATTTCTCAACTTTCATAGTTGGCCTACATGTTACCATTTACATGTATTTTGCCTTGACCATGCCCTACACATATTCTTGTTGTTGTTGTTGTTTGGTATTATCAGCGTTTCATTCTTTTTTAGAATATTTATGCCTTTCACTTTATTTTTTTTTTCTTCTATTTTTTGGTACTATTTGTAAATTCATACTCTTCTCTTTTTTTTTGGATAATATAATCTCAGATCTACTGGTCCATGATCCAGATCTACTGGTCCTGTATACTGCTTTTTTTTTTTTGGGGGGGGGGGTGGGGGTGGGGGTGGGGGGGGGTTATACTGCATGTAAATGATATAGTTCTGAAAGGTGAAACAGTTGCGCAATCACATACATATTATCAGTTGTTTCTACATAGTACTGTACAATATCACTTATTAAAGAAGTCTCAGCCTGTTATGACAGGAGTTGGTTAATACATTTATGTGTGTCATAACATCGATCGTTTCCTAACCTTGGCCTAAATTGAGCCCACTCCTAGAGCCTGTAGAATGTTTAATCCGGACTATTAGCTTCTTACCCATGTGTATCATCCTATCCACACTCTCTCTCGATTTAGAATTCCTTTAGCCTGGGTTTATACTGTTTACTGTATGAAACAATATGTTGACCCTGACCTTGGCATTCGACGAGCCACACCATGTGAACACTTTAAAATAAATAAAAATAGATTCTAATACCATGAAAATTGGAAATATAAATACTGTGCACTGGTCATGTCCAAATTACTATACCAAGTAAACAGAAATATGAAGTATTTTTTGTGTAGGAACTACCGTACATGTACATCCAAAATGTCAAACCACATGAACAGAAAGTATGAAATAGTTGTATGAATTATATCCAAATACCATACCACGTAAATAAACACCTCAAAAAAGTTCTGCAATTCACGTTTGAGCATTTAAATCTCTTCTGTTGAATTGTATTATCATACAAGTCAAAAGTGAAATGTTGCAAAATGCATTGTTATGTTGTCAAAAGGGGATTCTTATTTGTTTGGAGGATGTATTGTGTTTTGAAGGCCTCATATTCAGGATATTCCATGATTAAATAATCATTAAAAATGGGCCATCATTGTAAAGGGGAATAAACAGGCTTTACATTGATACCAACATAAAAAACGATAGTAACGAGATATCAACACTACATGTATAACTTGAATTGCTGAACTTTCTTTGAGTACCGGTAGTTTATAAATATGAATACATTGTACATGTCGTTTGTATGAGTTGCATCTGAAATAAAGATGAATACTGTGTAGGAATTAATTTCAAAAGACTATACTAAATCATGCATGTACAGCAATGTACCTCACATGAACACCAAAGTGTAAAACCTGTGTCGTCCACAGTTTGGATGGATAGCTCAGACCTTGTACTACTACATTATCTCTAAGTTGGACTTAACAATTAGCAACTTTGAAAATATTTTTTTAAAGTTTTTTTTAAAGGCATAACATGTTGATTCAAATCATTCATATTTTCTTTGATCAAGGAGATTTCATGTTCTTGATGTGGAATTTTAAAAAAATCTAAATTACTTGAATTTTTGCTTTTGAATATTTGATTTTAAGGCTACAAATGACTCTCCATAGTGTTTAAGTCCAATTTAGAGCTAAGTTCGACTTAGGATCTTTGTGAAACATCCCCCATGATGTGATTGATTGACAGGTGTTCATGTGCCTCTAGAATCCTTGCTCGTCATGCCCCATGTATCGGTTCAGGGAAGAATTAATTGCACTTTTGTTCAAGGGAATTGTTTCCCAGAGGAAGTGGAAGTCAACAATAGAATGGATCGACACAAAATAATCTCGACCGATAATTACTTTCAGACCCCATTTTCTCTATGGGTTGCTAGACAGCTTAGTCTACATTGCAGAGTCTGCAGACCTTCTTAATTGTAAACTGCTTTTGTAACCCAACAATCAGAATAGCTTGACTGTTCAGAGCCATGAGAGCATTACATGTACTCTACCTATTTATTTCTTACAGAGTTACAGTAGTTACATGGACCTGTACTTCCTTACTCTCAAAAGAGGATCATTTTGAAACAGTTAAATTGTTTACTTGGCTAAAAACCTCTATTTTTTCTTCTTCAGATCCCTAAAGTTTGATTAATATTTACAGATATTGGATTAAGAGGAGTAATAGTGTCTTATTCTATACCATTAGGAAAGAAAGAGAGACAGAGAGAGAGACAGAGAAAGAGAGAGAGAGACAGACAGAGAGGGGAGAAAGAGAGAGAAAGAAAGAAAGAAACACGACTTTTCTGTAGGATGCCAATTTATTGTATCCTATGTACTGTACATGTCGGCCTTCATATATTTCCCACTAGACCCAACTACTACATGCTGTACGATAGTGTAGTTATTTGATAATTAGCTTAGTAATTAGTATTAATGAATATTGGTACAGGACTTCATATCCTTGCAAATCTTCTTTCCTCGAAGATGAACAGATTTACAGATAAAGCAGTATTGACAGGAAAATTAGAAATCTTTCATCTTGTCTACTATTCATAAAGGAATATGTGTACATGTATGATAGTGGGACAGACATGTCTATTAATACGATACGGTGAGTGGGATGAATCGCTTGCCTTAAAATCATGAATATTCCATGATGAATTGAATGTTTAATGAAGATGAACGAGTAGCCCCTTGAATGCATGTTTGCTCACAAATACACTTCATTTACGGATCTGCGTATGGCTAGATGCCCCATTTGCACAAACACATACATGTAGGTACTATTTTCCATTGCAAGTAGAACAAGACTTTTAAATAGTTTGATTATTTATACAATACAAATCAAATTAACATGTTTTATTTTCAAAGTCTTGAATTTAGCACTTTAGCCTCAAAATGTCATCTTTCATGTCAAAAACACATGAACTGCCTGAACATAAATCTTAGTTGTTGCATTTTTTTCTTCATCACAGCGAATTAAAATACATGTATTAGCTGCCCTATAAATTGATATAACTATTATTGTCATTCTTGTTTATTTTGCAATGTCAAAATGACATCATTAAGTAAAAAATATTGTAGGTCTAATATATTTAATGAGATTATGCCACACATTTTCACTACACTGTAAGACCCCGTTCTCACTCACTTCGTTGGAGCGCTCTGGAGCGCTCTTACTAAGACCTGCTCCTCAGGAGCGGTTCTTAGGTGAGTGAGAACGCTCAAAGTGGTCCAGGAAGCGGACTTCTGGACCGCTCCAGAAGTCCACCTTCCGAGGTGGTCTTGAGGAGCGGGTCTTATTAAGAGCGCTCCAGAGCGCTCTAACGTGCAATGTGAACGGAAAGCGTACTTTGAACGGAAGTGACGTTCCGCGCGATGAGCGATCGGGCAGGCACTACACATGTATACGGGGCGCGTCGCGAACGGGACATCAGGTGACATAGGGTTTGGATTCCGCGCGCGAAAAAATTGACCCGCCTACCTGAGCTGCCATAGCAACAAGACCACTTTGACTCGTGGAGCGGTTTGAGCCATAAAAACTGCTCGGAGTGTGAACGCTCGCAAACCGTTCCTCAAGACCCGTTCCTCTGGAGCGGTCTGGAGCGGTCTAACTAAGACTACTTTCAAAGTGAGTGAGAACGGGGTCTAAGACATGTTTGATCATGAAAAGGAAAGAAAAAAAATGTTGTTGTATAATTCAAATCTTGAACTTTATGGTTGCTAAGTAGCATAGGGCACCCCCTCTTATAATTTGATTCTGTTGCAGTTTGTTCTTCATCTCGTGCAGCATTTATTAGCAAACCTTCTGCTGTTGTTAATCATTGAGTTCATTTACAAGGCACGAAGCATTAAAATTAATTCAAAGTGCGACACAAATTGCATGTACCGGTACATAAAAACCTGCTGTTCAAATATAATCACATTAAATACAAATAACCAGCAATGTCACAGGAATCGGTAAAGAAAAGTCTTGGCCTTGTATAATTGTTGCCAATTTAATGAAGGAAGGCTAATCAATTTTCCGGCAACGGTTCGCATCTTTGATGAATTTAGATATAAACAGTCTTTAATAGATGTTCACTCGCTAGATCAGTAACCAAAACTAGAAAGTAAAGTTGAAGATAAAGTTGAGAACTGATCATGCAATTTCATCGTGAAAGAAACTGTCTGGAGCCAATTGGAAAGACTGGTGATGTAGTGCATAAAATAGATGTACCTATGCTGTGAGGTTTTAGGAATTATCAACAACAACAAAATATTGCTGAAAATCACATGCACTGCTGAAAAGGATATACATGTATTGTGCTATAAATATTTGACACAATGACAAACATTGGACAAATATTTAATCCAAAACTTTCAGCTATTTCTTGTTATTTTGTTTAACGTGAAGGTACATGTATATGAAAGACAATCCTTTAAATACAGGGGAGATTTTTTAAATAATATTTTTCCAAACTGATTTACAAAGTATGAGAAAGCTCACAAATTATTTCCCATCTTCACCGGAACTCAACCTTCTCTTTCAACGTTTTGATTCTCGTTTCAGTTTACGCCTCGCCGTGGTTCATCCAGCCAAGGAGATACGTGGAGCTGGAGTGAGGGCGCTTCGCCACCTTGTACAGGATGAGACGACTGTACAGGCCATGCTGGCCCTGCATGTTGATCGTCTTCTCATGAGATCCCTGGACATATATCAGCGCAATGATGTGGAGAGGGTTCAAGCTCTCAGGTTTATCAGGAGGGTAGGTCAAAGACTTTTATGAGTGAAATGAATTCTTTATTTGTCTTCTGAGAGCCAGAAAGTGTTCAGTAAGGTAGCTCAGCAAAATATATAGCTGCACGAAAAGATGCGTACATGTATTTGTTAAAAACAATGATTTGTGGCATTGTGCTAGAGCCTTATTTGTAGGGCTTGGGACTGATAAGTATCTCTTCTACCTGGATTAGACTTTATTTAGATAATGTCATATCATTCCAACTATATTTAGAGATGCCAACTGTTCCGTTTTTGCCGTATTCGTTCCGTTTTTTCGCTCTCAATACGGCAGTACGTTTTTTGTATGTTTTGTTACGTTTTAAAAAAAATTAATTATTTTTTATTATTTTTTTTTTTATGACGTTTTTCTTAATTTCTGATCATGGGCTTTGTGTCGTAAGTGTATTATGCACCTACCTCTTCAAATGATGCACGCAGGATGGTGATGCGGGCCCCAAACTGCGCACATTGCGAACAACCCACGTGTAATCTATGCATGTCGCACTCCGATCCGGGTACGTATACGGGGTACTGCCAGGTTATTTAAGCTGCTCGATTGGGCGATATGTTAAGTTGAGAGATTTTTTCAAAAATACTGTTTTTTGCTCTTAAAAATACTTTTTTTTGTTGAAGAAGGTTGGCATCTCTGTATATTTGGACCAATATTACCCGCTGTTATGCCTTTTGAATTCCGAACAAGTCTTTTTAGACTGATACATTTTGCTAAGCTACCTGACATCTAGAGTTAATGACCTTCTGGCTCTCAACAGATGAATCATTGCATTCTAGTGTAGATGGACTGAAGAAAGGGAAATTACTCTTAACTGATACATGGTTATTACACCAAGGTTGAGACATATATTTATGTATTTACATTTAATCTCGGTTAAAAAAAACCTTTGTCTATAGAAGGACATTAGAAACCAGGCAGAGATTTGAACACTCAAGTTCTTGGTTGGTTGAAAGTCAAATGAACCACTATTCTGTGGCCCCCTAACATCACCAACTCCACTTAACATCTTATATGAGCATATAAGTACAGTAGTATACAATCTTCTTGGTTCTATAAAGGGCCAACATTTTTTTGGAAGTAAGTCGTCAAAATTGCTGCAGATTAAGCATGCTCCAGTTCTCAAAGGAATGCCTCAATATTTCCATTTAATTTACAATGTCATGTTCATCCACCCATCTCAGATTCTCGCCGTCGCCCCGGCCTTCTGCCCCATTTCGCTGGTTCATGTCTTGGTTGCTATTAGCAACAGCGACGACAAGGAACGGGATCGGATGAGGAATGCATGCGTGGCGACGCTTTGTGAACTTGGTGAGTACTGTAGGAACCAACTCTTTACTAGCCATGGTCAACTATTTAAAAGGAACATAAACTGGATTGCCATACTAGCCTTTTATCACACGTACATGTACAATGTCCATGTATGATTTTAAATGTGGCAGTGAAAGGTTTTGATCTTGGTTAGTATTGTAGGAATTGCCTCTTTACTAGCCGTGGTCAACAATATTAAAGGAACATAAACTGGATTGCCATACTAGTCTTTTATCACACATACAGTGTCCATGTAATGTGGCAGTGCAGGGTTTTGATCCATGGTTTGTATAGGGTATTATGTAATCTTGTTTTGCTAATGTCAAAAGAAATATTCTTACTCAATGAAGGGAAACCTGCAAATAAATGATATGTGCCAAGTGATTGTGCTAGAAAATATATGATATCTTTAGCTGATGAATGAACAAATGGGGATCATTAGGAAAGTATTTCTGACCCTATTATCAAATGAGAATTGTGTATTTGAGTGGGTCAGTGTCACTTCCAGGAAGCTTTCCTTTGTTCAATTCTTTACATCTGCTGGTTCATACAACACATCTATTGCATAATAAAACAATTTTAGAATCAATTTAAATCAGGTGCAATCAAATGCAATTAGATTACTGGAACCCGAGATAAGTGGTTAGAATCATATAGATGAAATAATAAATGGGTTTTGTTTACCAGATATTTTTAGTGGGCAAACTGTATTATAATGGGTACATAAAACCTTGCATAATATGTATTAATTTATTTTCTATGTATTATTTTATAGACAGGTATAATACAGTACTATGTAATGATAAATTTCTTCCTAATTAAAAAGGGCTGATATTATACATACGATGTGAATTAGCTAGAATTTGAACTGTAAACTTTCCAGGACAATTACTGATGCAGCATCAATGTACTGGTGGTGTTTTATAAGCAAAAATAGTGGTGGGCATATGATACGAAGAAAAGGATTAAAGAAATGTCAGTGAGTAGGTGTTTATGTCATCAGCATTCTATATCATGTGTTTATGGGGTAGCATAGTGGTTACCGTGAAAGGTCATTATGCTTATTGTTATGCCTGGAAAAGATATTGCATAAAAAGTGAATGATACTTCTTTTTTTTCTTTCTTTTTTTGTTACTTTGGTACATTTTTAATGTGTTTTCATTCTTGAAAAAATATGTCATTTTTTCTTGTTCATTCATGTGTCATCATCATCATCTTCATGACGAAACAGTATTGGCTGAATTCTCTAACAAAATCTTCACTCACAGTTGTGTTCTGTGGTTGTGATTATTTTACTACAGTTAATCAGCATGTAGTATGTTTGGTTATTACCTTCTTTTATGATAACAAACTATTCAAAAAAATTATAGTCATACATACATGTACAATTATGAATTGCTTTGTGTTCCCCTATATTGCCAAAGAGAGGTCACAAATGAAACCCAGTTTAGATTTAAGAAAGAGGCACTGCACTACATATTCCGCTTCATTTGGGGGTGACAATCGTATCGCAGACGACTGGTCACCCACTCAAAGTTTCCTGGTTTAGGAGACCCAGAGGAGGCGGTGGGTTGGGGAGACATCTAAATTTATCCTCACCGGTTTATTTTTAAGAGACTTCCTCAGATCAGGGCTAGCTGGCTAGCTGGCTGAATGAAAAAACTTGCCTGAATCACTCTCTATGATATATGCTAAGAAAGGTTCTTGTCCACATTGGTCAGGCCAAGTCTTATTAAAACTTTAATAGGTGGTGAAAAAACTTTAGATTGGATACAATTGAATGTGTTGCGAATACAAATATTGGGCAGTGCAAAGTATCATCAATTTTATCATGAAGTATGCTTGGATATTCCAGTAACCTAAGCTTTACATAATCTTAGAAAACGGAATTTATTTAAATTTTTAAGTTCACCAATGAAACCAAGTTTAGATTGAAGAAAGAGGCATTGCAATACAAATTCCTCTACATTTGGGGTGACAGTGACAGTCGTATCCCAGACGACTGGTCACCCACTCAAAGTTTCCTGATTTAGCCAACCTAGAGAAGGTTGTTGGTTGAGGGGGGGGGGGGCTGGAGAGACCTCTAAATTTATCCTCATTTGGCTTTTTTAAGAGACTTCCTCAGATCAGGGCTGGCTGGGTAAAAAAGGAAAAGACTTCCTGTCATATGCGTCGGTCAGGCTTAGTCTTATAATTATAAAAAAGATGGTAAGAAACTTGGTTTACATTAAATACAGTATGGTATGAATACTAGCAATGAAAGAAAGGCCTATCATAGTACAGACATCTGACTTCTTTATAATATTTAATGAGCATATTTGATATCTCCTTTCTTGAGAGCCAAAATAGAGTGAAATTTGTTCATGTAGTACCTGATGTAATGCCTTTCTGGCACCCAACAGATTAACTATAGGAGGATTAATTATTTTGGTTTTAAACTTATTTTGGTTATTTTGCAAGCCTGTCAATGTACATTTAGATCTAAATACAAGAATATAAAAAATGTTGAAAAAATAATTTTAAAGAGAATACTAACAAAAAGGAAAGCAATTCATAATTTTCTAGTAACCCTAAATATTCTTTAGCTAGTGCATGTACATGTGTAAAGGGAAAGCTGCTTTCATAAAGAATGGTTGAAAGACAGACTCACAGTACATGAAGATTTGATTTGTGTTCCCAGGACTAGAAAACTTCTCTATAACATGAACTTTGGGGTATGTTTTGAATGATGACTGCAACTGCTGCAGTGTAGAGCTATCAGTATGTGGTGCAATTAGTTAAATTAAGTGCCCTTCCTGCTATTACATTGCACATGCCTACTGTCTCTGAAATATGGCTGTGTGCCTGTGTTTGATTAGCGTGAACCAATTAGGATCAATTAAATCCAAAAGTGTATCGGTCTTACCTACTGGGTCGTTTCAATGTGATCAAAGGAGATGCATGTGCTCATGTCGTTCATGTATTTTCATGATGTGACTAAAGTTGATTAGAATCGAGGACAATTAATTGTGTCGTGTATGCTTTATATAGAATGTCGCTGGGTTCCCATCAAATTGTACTATGCATGGAGTTTTAAAGGAGAAGAAGAGAGAGAAAGAGAAAAGAAGAAAGAAAGAGAAATAGATAAAAGGAGAAGAGGAAAGATATCAATGGATAGGGAGAATGAGAGAGAGAGAGAGGAAGAGAGAGAGAGAGAGAGAGATATAATGAGAAATGAAGATATGGCAGGAGGGAGAAATTAAGAGAACATATAAAGAGACAGAGAGAGGAATGTAGAGCGAAAAAGATAGAGAAATTAAGAAAATAGTAATTTATTAATCATCTTACCGTACTTTACTTGTACATGTAGCTGTGTTGAATCCTGCTGCCTTTGCCCATGCTCGAGGACTCGGTGCCCTAGTGCGTAACATCTTAGACATGCAGCTACTGAGGATGAATGAAGCCGTCATGTTGACTGTTCTTCATCTACTCAACCACCCAGCAAGCAGAAGATTCATCAGATTCAAAGTCGATCTTGAGGTACTGTACATGTAGCTCTTTCACATTGGTTTTAAGACACATGCTCTAGCATCAATTGCTCTTTGGTTAATATCCAACACTCCAATCCTTGACGAAATACAAACCCTAACCCAAAACCCTAATCTTAAATGTAACGTATAAACCTTTTGCAAACCTATCCGTAACCCTTACCCTGTATCTTTGGCAAATTGTTGAACAGAAAATGTCTGAATGCGTTCACATCTGATCAATATTGGTTGATAAAAAATAGATATATTTCTTTAATATAAAGCTTTACAGAAGCATGATAATTGCTTGAGTTTTGACAATCATTTATTTATTCATTGGAGAGCTCAAATTATTTAGAGAAAATTAATATTACTAAATACTGTAGACTCACCAAAATGGTATCTGTCTCTCTTTCTTTCTGACATGAAGTAAATCATTTCTGTCTTGAGAATAATGATTCAATCGTTCTTTCTCTGACTTCTATTTTCCTGTTAACTTATAGCAAGTGATAGCTCCATTCACAGACTTCAACTACAGGCATACGGGCGACTCCTCAGAATCACAAGCCAGGTAAGATAACAATCTTTCATGAAAGAAATCAGACTTGGTGTAGGGCCTTAAAAAAAAGATGTTGTATTGCCCTTTGCAATCTTCCCCAAAATCTTGAAATCTAATCTAAAACAATGTAGGGTTAATGAATAACAAAAATTGGCTGGGCACTACAGGGCAATACAAAATCTTTTTTAAAGGCCTAGTTCATCTGCAGTTTGAGGTAATAGAAAAGGAGTTCAAGTAAAATTGGCTTTAATTCTTCCACCATGGAACAATAAGATTATGAAGGTTAGTCTTGAGTTTCGGTAATAGAATAAGATTTCAATAGAAATATATATGAATACATATGAATAGTTATAAGGAATCGGTTCATCTTCGTTCCTAAGAGTGATGAATTCATAACATTGTTGGTGTGAGGCAGTATCCCCTATTGTTTATATTGAATACCAAGTATCAGACGCTGCATTGTAACCCATCTCCATGTAAGGGAGCATTGCACCTGATCCTAGCCAGTACAACTAACCCCACATTCACAATACCAGAATTCATCGTTAAGCAATACGTGGTTATCCTTTTTCTAGTCGGAATGTCTTATAAAAAGTTCCTGTAATGAAATGTATGTTGGAACATCATTTTGAACAAAAACTAGATGTAAAATAGGGTTCTGTTCTAGTCTGTAAGTCAGGTCATACAAAATTTGCATAAGTGGGTGGGGCTTATTGAGAGTATACACTAATGATTGGTCAGCTGTCATGTCATATGACCTCTTCAGAAATGGTTTCTATTCTGTACGCTCTTGTTGATACTCGATGATTCCTTATGATGACGTATCTTTTTGTACAAGTTTTGTATAAATTTGCTGTAGTCTGAACAGACTATATAAAAATGGCAACACAGACGACCGACGACGTTCCTCTCCATACTTGTCAAGTAATCCCCCTTCTAAACACCTTGAATAATTGATGAGAGTTTTGTGAGGGCTGCCAAGCCTGTGGGAGATGTCAACCACATTGTCTCTGTCTGGGCCTGTCCTCATCAGCTCGATTTTGCCGAATAATCCGCTATTTTAACCATCACAATCGCAAATTATCTAGCTAATTTGCGTTTTCACCAGCCTGCAGTTGCAATTAGCGAGATTCTTTGGTCTAGTTTCCAAAATATCCCGTGATTTGGGAGATAGTGGGCTAATTTGCACCCACCCGAGCTAGTTTGTGATGAGCGTATCAGTCTGGTGGAAATGCAATTTTGAGCTTCGGGATAATATCGCGAGTCTGAAAATGGTGGGTTATTTGGCAAACTTGAGCTGATGAAAACAGGCCTTCTGTGTGGGTAGAAGCAGCTATGAAAGAGTGATGAGATCTGAGGGATAACAAGCAGTTCTTAGCCAACATACACACCTATCTCAGATTTGGTGACCAAAGAAAAAAACATTAAGTGGGTTGGTTGCTTAGAAGAGGGAAATATCATGTCTGCTGTTTTTTTTTCTTTTCAAGGCTGTGTTTTTTTCACGTATGCACAATCCCATTTATCAAAGAAAATTGTAAACATTTCCACCCACTCAATCTCTCTCATTCCCTCTATCTTTCTCTCTGTCTCCCCACCCCTTCTGTCTCTCTTTCTCTTTTTCTTCCCCTCTAACTCAGCTCGTCTCTCTTTCTCTCCGTCTCTCCCTCCTTCCCTCATTCTCTTTTTCTCTGTGTCTCTGTCTGTCTGTTTTTTTGATATATATACCTCAGCATTCTTCTCTGAATAAATTTCTGTGTCTTCTGTTTTATTCTAATTTTTACCTTTTGATTTCTGTGATGTGACTGCCATGTAGTTTAATTGTTCACATAATCAATAATAGTTTCTTACAAATTTGATTAGACAAAACAATTAAATATCTTTGTAAATGTTTTGTTATTTCTATCTGTTTTGCCTTTGTAGTGAGAAAGAGGGTTTATATCAAGCTAGCAGGATGGCTATCGTGACTCTGCTAAGATCATGGCCTGGTAAGTACACTCACTCAATCCTCCATCTTATTAACCCTATCACTTCAGCAGAAGGTCATAATCACTCAAATTGGCAACTCTTATTAAAAAATCAAATCTGGTTCATGCACATAGATTGATGTCAAATTGTAGAGTTTTATATCATGGAACTCTGTCTGTATCAAGATTAATAACAATGTGAAGATTATTGGACCCGATCTGTGATACAAGTATAAAACCTTGATGGTAACGAAAGGGTGAAAGGATGGTTAATACTTGGGAATGAATTGGTCAGCTCTTCCTTTTCTAGTTGACTTTAATTTTTCCACTCACTGATTAGAATTTCATAATGCAGGAGACTACTGTATGAACAATGCATGTAGAATTTAGCAAGCATATTAAGTAGACAGGGACTTCTAAAAGATCCATAAATACAAACAATTAGATATTGTATTTTCATTATTACCTCATGCACAAAGGCTGGCTAGTTGTAAAGAAAGTTTGGAAAGGGGGATTGGGGCGAATGATATAGTGGATTAATACTATAGAGAAAGAAAGCTGAATGTTTTCATTCATGGATTTCAAATGTTATAAAGTTTAACACTTGCCTATCTAGTGTGCTCTCACTAGCAAGGATTATGTTTAATCTGAACCCAATACAAGTAGCTGTATATAACTATAGGCAAGGTCAAATAGTCATAGGGAATCTCATTAGTAACAGCACACATGATTAGTAATCATCGCTATGAATGGATTAAATCTTTGCAGAGAGAGAGAGAGAGAGAGAATGAGAGAGAGAGAGAGGGGTAAGAGGGAGAGAGAGAAAGAGAGAGGGGCTTTTGTACATGTAGGTGGAGACAAAATAAAGAAAGATGTGCAAAATACTAAAGGGGAGGAGAGGGAGAGAAAGGTGGAGAAAGACCTGGAGGGGGAGAGAAATATGCATACAGTACAATGTAACTTATTATGCAATAAGAAAGAAGAAGAGGCTAATAATGACGGGGATAGTCTTATCGTTTTTGCTTCATCTGTTTGGAGCAGTAAGGCATTATATCCCCGTTTTAAATGGGATGAGTTAATGCCTTCCTTGCTCTGAGCAGACGAGTTTGTGGTCTTCTATTCATATCCCACGTCTTGTCTTGTGACGTGCGTCTTGTGATGAGGCCTGGTGACGCAACCTGGGCACGTTTCCTTTCCACCGCTCCGTCCGACAAAGCTTAGTGGAGACGGTTGCTATGCACAATGATGTTGTCAATAAAGCATGGTTGCAGTCTTGTGACCATACTTCCTCATGTTGCATGTGACTAGTGTGGAAAGGATTGTAAAGTATCCTTCCTGTAATGTTCAGTTTGTCTACAATTTCAAAAAGAAAAGGAAAAATAGTAGATAGCAAGGCTGCTTAGAGTGCATGGAGCTAAAAATGGAGCAGTCCTTCTTCTGAACATCAAAGCAAAAGTACTTGACTTGCAGGATTTACATAATGATTCTTATATCTAGGATGTCCTGGATTATATCCTGGATGGGGAGGGAGGGGCACAGGTAATAGGTAATATATTCTTTTTAGATCCCTAATAAGCAACAAGGAAACACATTATTGTATTTACCTGAGGTATTATTATGTTTCAATTTCAATTTCAATTTATTCATGTTTCTAACAAAACATTACAAATCAATTATAAGCATTTAAAACAGAGGGGTCCACTAAAAAGCTATGCTTGTACAAGTGTGAACACCTCTAAAATCTTTAACAAGTACAAAAGGGGGTTCTCAAGTAACTCATGTGTGGTTAGATCGGGGGGGGGCCTCAAATTTTGTCATTGATGAGGATGTTTTCCCTATAAAAAGGGCCCCTTGATTAAAAGAGACATTTAAAGGTGTACCTTAATACATGTATGTACTCTTTATCAAAGGCCTTTCTGCTGGAAAACTGTGGTAGAACATGATGGAAAAGGGACATTGATCTAAGGAATCAAGCTTGTACCTGTAAGCCTTGTTGAGTGCGGTTCTCTAAAGGGGGATATCCCTTTAATTTGTTTGTTTGTTTTTGGTGTGAGTCAGTGTCATTGGGTTGTTTTCAAGTAGCCAGGCAGAGTGATAGTTTCCTGAGCATTTAAGGAAATGATTAATCTAGGGTGCCATTCTTGGCCAGAGAGCCCCCTCCCGTCTCTGCAGTAAAGCCCCCCCCCCCCCCCTCCTCCTCCCGTTCACTCTGTTCCACTCAATATGACACAATACTGTCTGTAGGGTTCTTCTTCTTCTGTTAATCTTCAAAGGGCTGTGCAGCCTATCACAAAGATCTTTACATGTAGGAATATTACCAGTTGTCTATGTAGGCACACTAAACATCAGATTTACACCCTACTCATTGCGAGAAGTGTAGCGTAATGACGTGCATGGGATGTGACTCTCTAACACACAGGGCCTCCATTTAAAGTTCTGTTCCATGAACAGTGCTTTCCCCTGAACCCGATCCTGCATCGAGAACAGGGGGGAGGGGCGTACTTACACATAATGCAGCGACATTTATTTTTGCAAGTTTGTCTGCTCAGTGCGGTACTCCAAACTGGTGCATGACGAAAGTCATGAGCGCGAGATGATGATCTAATTGCGCCACACTGCTTCATGCCATTGTGTTACGTAATAAGCTGGTTGTTCTGTCTCTGTGTAATATAGACGGTCACCTCATCATTGGTTGTTTTTTGTTTGGAAAGAGTGAAAAGATTTCAGAGCTAACAGCATTCCAGGGATTCCTTCCTACCGGTACCCATGCCACACCTGGGTGGAGAGTGGCATATATGTAGATTAGTGTTGTAAATTGGCTGGATGGATGTACAGTACATAGTTTTTAAGATCTTCATGTACATGCACATTTATTAGCTTGCATATACACTAGAAACATTATAAATACTTTCTCACCTTTTTTTTTCTTTTACAAAATTGCAGCATAGGAGTCAAATAATGAATTATCTCTACCAAAGTCAAATGAAGTAGTTATAACAAGAAATTTATTTTTAGAAAACAACACTGACTAATGATAAAAACATGTTGTAAAGTGGCAAGCCCGATGAAGGTTGTCTCCAAGGGCCAACAAATATCAATGATCAAAGATAAATATACAAAAATTAGATCACATGTACTAAAGCCATGTTCATGTGATGTAATGCATGAGTAATAAGAGTCACTCTAAAACAGACCCCGTGTTCGGCCAAGAATAGAACAGCCCTCGACAACGTTTCTAAAATAAGCTGGTCATATAATGTGTCATTCATTCACTGTTGGCCAGTGTCAGTAACAGCTGTTCTAAGAAAAGACACGGCACATGCCGCAAGCAACGGGTTGGATTTCATCTCTCATGGTTTAATACTCGTACGAATACACACAGGTCTCACTGAAATTTGAGTTTCTATTTCACTTTTTAATGTGATTATGAAAGCATTGTAAAACCAGAATCTTTGTTTGACCTTTGCTCACAACAGACTGCAGGGCCCTTTTTCAATAAAACTTGTTATCAATAACAAGTTACAATAACTATTATAAGCTTCTGAATTCCTTGCATTTGATTGGCTGAGAGCAATTTTGTCATAGAAGTTTAATATTTGTTATTGCTAACAAGTTTTATGAAACAGGGCCCAGGTTCTTTGAAAGTAAAGGTTCTATTTAACTTTCAGACTTGAAAATAAATGCAGTAGTTTATTAGAAAATGTAGTACTAATTTAAAGACATTTGTCTTAGACTGTAAAAGGAAATTGAAAATCTCTAGATTTTCAAACAATTGATCAATATTTAGGAAGGAACAATTTCATTTTCATTTTCAATATGAAAAATAGGATTCATACATCAATACAAATAATAACCTATAAAACTGTATTAGTGACAAGAGGGTATATTTTTTTTAATTCATACTGTTGTCACCAGCCAATAACTATTTGGACTGATATTTGTTTTAAACTTATATTTTAAAACATTAAAGAGTCCCTATAGAAGAAGTTTCAGATTTGAATTGGCCACTGATATGTTGCATGCATTTATATACTGGTATGTACTTTGTATGAAGTAACGTGCAATAGAATCTGAGCTAAAGTTTAAAACAACACACACTGTAATCACTGAATAATGCATAACATTCACCTTCTAAGGCACTGGGGCAATTAAAACATGGACATTAACCTCGTTATCGGTCAAATCTCACATGTACATGTATTCTATATTTAGTTTCTCAGGGTCTGTATCCTCTTTCATATCTCCTGGTTTATTTGATATATAATTATATCGGTACCGGTATGTTTATTTATATCTACAGTGTGTACGTGTGTTTATTTTTATCTCTCTATCTCTTCTTCATTGAAAACATTTTGTTTGCTTCTTCTTTATCCTGTTCAGCCTTTTCATAAAGATTTAATTGTACAAGGTTCCAAATCAAATATTAGCTGGGAGTGCTTATATGCATTACAATGTACTTATAAGAATATTTGCAGCTTGTGCAAGATTTATGCATGATTTAACTTATACATTTATGTAGGCCTACATGTATATGGTGTTAAGAGTCAGCAATGAAATTTGGAAGCAAATTGCCAAGAGTATTCTTAATGTAGAAGACACTTGTCTTTCTTTAATATAGAATTAGCCTAGATATCTCTGAATAGTGTAAACAAACCCATGTAGAGTGATGGCCATGAAGTAGCAACGCTGCAATGCCCCTGATCACTCTAAATTATGCATTAGCCTATATCCCTATACCTCTGAATAGTGTGAACATGCTTGTATAGTATGATGACCATGCACGATCATTATGCTGCACTGCCCTTGATCACGCTAAATTATAAGTTAGCCTATACCTCTGAGTAGTGTGAACTCACCCAGATAGAGTGATGACCATGTATGAAATAGTATTATGCTACACTGCCCTTGATCATGCTAAGTTGAACATAAGTCTATTAACTCTGAAGAGTGTTAACACACCCATATAGTATGATGAACATGCAGCGGCATTATACCTGCACTGCCCTTGATTACTCTAAATTATAAAGTAGCCTGTACCTCTGAATAGTGTGAACACATCCATATCATATGATGACCATGCAGAAGCATTATGCCGCACTACCCTTGATCAAGCTAAGTTAAAAACATCCTCTGTATGATATGATTCACTATGACAACAAGGCCAGTCTGCTTCACATGTTGGCATCCATCACCAGCATAGTAGTTAGTATTGGTCAGCTTACCATGATAATGGGTATCCAGTTTACAATAGTAGTAGTTGTATAAATGTAACAATACCATGATCTATAAAGAGGTCAAGAGGGGCAAAATATGTTAATTTAGAGTGATATAGTTGTAGGAAGCTGAGACAAAAGGTGTTGGAGAAATTACAGGAAAAATAGACATTAAATTGCTGCATCACCCCCTCCCCTCCCCCGCAAAAAATAGAGAGAGAGAGAGAGAGAGAGAGAGAGAGATAGAAAAAGAAAGAGATACCGTATATCTAATTTATAGTGAAACTCAGAAAAACCCTAAAAAGCTCTTGTAAACAATTAAAGGAGTCATGCATGTATTTGACAGTGTTGGCATCTTTGGCAGGCCACACTGATGAAAATGCACAGTATATAGAACAGAAAACAGTTTACTGGGGTCATGCCAAGCTTGTGGTAACATATTATACTGTTATGATATAAATTCTTGTATATATTTATGACTCGTTACACGTGTTGAAGTGTACTTTGAAATGAATTTCAATCGAATTTGAATCAGTAGGATGTATTTTGTTGATACTTGTTCCTTTCTGATGAAACCATGTTTTGAAAAGATGATACATCTACATTTTAAACTTATACTATAGGGATAATGGTGGGACATATACATTTTTGATACACAGAATATATCCTTGTTGTTTTTATCTTGATGGGGAAATAAATAAATGACAAATGGAAATGTGATCAGTATTACCTCATTTTGCTTTATGATACTAATATATCATGGTAAAGAGACATTAAAAAAAACAGTCCAACCTTTATGTAGTGGAGACCTTGGGGTGTTTCACACAACTTGTCATCAATAACAAATGACAGTTTTTGTTATAAGCTAGTGAAATCCTTGCTTCTGATTGGTTATCAGCAGATTTGTCACTGATTTTTAACATTTGTCATTGAAAAAACGGCTTTGTGAAATGATTCTGAGAAAAATGGTTGTTGTATAGTTACACCAAGAAACACAAGGGAAACAAAAATTACTCTCTGTAGGCAACTGGTCCCTCCAATACAGATAGGCGGTAAAGCATGATTTACTTCATAATTTCTTTCTGTTGGAACAAATTTCAAACTAACTGCTGTTGTTTTTATTGTTTGTGTTATAGGTATGATACGTCTGTGCCGGTCTGATGCCACTGGGTTACAATCCTTGCTTGCTATCCTGTGTGTACATAATGATGAAAACAGAGTAAGTAATTTACATCGAGGGTTCAGTGACACAAAGACGTAACTCCATATTTTGCCAAAATGAGTATTTGATATCAAAATGTTCAGAAAAATGTGGACTTCCCAGGAAACATAAAGACTTAACTCCACCCAACACCCCATCGAAGTCAATGGCTAGTGAAACAGACTTAACTCCTTAAGGCCCAAGTGCTAAGTGACACATAAACCACTTTTTCTCAAAATGGAGTTACGTCTTTGTGTCACTGACCCTGATATGTATCAGTGAAGAAGGGAAATAAGTTAATAGATTAACTTTGATATCAGGCTCTATTTATGAGACTGCATTTCAAGAGGAACTCCCTCAAAGCAATGTGTTTGTTTATTTTACCTGACTGTTACGTGTATGTCTGAAAGTAAGCACATAGAGACCTACCGCTAAAAGTCCTCTTGCTAATAAGAATAAATGCCTTACCAAAGGGCACCAGCGCATCAACTTTGTTTCGAACCGCTGGACCTCACGCCTCCGTTAAATTGTTTATCTCCCAGTATTTTTGATTTTTTTTCAAAACCCAAAGTAACATTAACTCATTGAAAAATAGACTCACCAAAGCATTATTTTTGTTTTGTTTGTTCTTGGTTTAAACAATACATGATGATGACATTACAACTTCCATGCTTCATTATAGCAAGTTATATACAGCATCGTGAAAGATATGATTTTATACAAATTTGCTTTCAACAGTATCTCCCCATACATATACGAGCATGAACATATCACTTTCAATGCAGCTGCATGTATGTAACCATGGTACTGTATTATTTTGTTTTTAGCGATACCTCTTGGAAGTGTTGTATGATATCTTCTACTTACCAATCGCAGAATGGACTGATAATTTCTCCACAGCTTTACAGAGTATAGGTAACACCTCTCTCTTTTATATATGGACTCTAAAATGTTCTTCTATTTGGATATTGTGGCTTGGTAAAGAGTAACAAGCATGTTTTTGGTGAATTCCATATTTGTATTTTTATCAAGTGGTTTTCTAAATAAATGATGTAGTGCCTTTTGAAAATGGTATTCTAGGGAGATAAAGTCTGTAAGGTTTTTAAACCTTTTGACTTTAGTTTTAGACTAAGAAAAAATATATGAATAAAAATTGGATATAAGAATTGAAAATTATGAAAAGTTTTGGATGGTTTGCCATTCAGTATGAACACTACTGGCAACCAAACCGTCAAATGGGATAATGCAAACTGGCAAGTTGTCAACACTTTTTTATAATTCATTCTTCTATACAAGTGACACATGTTGTACTGATCGTACTTATCAAGATACCTGTAGAAGTCTTAATATTTTGTTTTCTTATTTCACTGTTCTTTTAATTTGTTGCACCGTGTCAGAAATTTAAAATCAGTTAAGACAACAGCTGTAATTGGAGGTGCACACCATCTTATTCCTTGTTTGATTGTTCCTATGTTTGACCTTATGTTTGATCTCATTTTTATTTTTATTATTATATATGGATGTTTTATTGAATAAAGAACAGATTTATAATTTGTGTGTTTATTGTAAGATTTGGTTAGTAGTTTTCAGTCAGACAATGGTGCACTTAGAAACACCCGTATTAAGGGCCTTATAAATGCTGTGTATTATTTATTATTATTATTAATTGAAATGAAATCATGCCTACAGATTCTTGCCAAATGAAGACTTCGTGGAACCTGACGGAAGGCTTTGTTGTTGCTGAAGCATTGGACCTGCTTCCTAACAGGGCCATCACGAGACCAAACCTGACAGAGAACCACTTAGCCCTGCTTCTCCTTGCCTTTATCAATGCTGGTCTCTTAGAGGTAAGACACAATCCTTTACTAAGTTGATTTGAATTTTGATTATATTACACTGTCTTATTTCGTATTGCATTATTTGCAATTGTATCATGTTTTCACTGCAATAATACCTGTAAAGCACTTAGGCACATCGTTCTATCAATGTATTGGGCGCTATATGAAAGCGGAATTTTATTATTATTAACAAATTTGATTGCTTCATTTACGATTGCATTGATTTGATTGCATCAATGTTTATTCTACTGGGAATGATGATTGATTAAATGCAATAGACAGTTTGATTTGGTATGGTAGTCTTTATTTATTTATATATCTTTTTGTAGAAGTGTTGTTTATCATTGTTAGTTATTTCAGTTGATTACATAATCTTCACAAATAGCAGTGAATAGCTAAAGAATACCCCCGTTTATTTGAATGTTGTCTTGGTTTGAATATTTTGTTTCAATTCCTTTATATCTTGTTTGTTGTAGAGTCTTGTAGAGGTGGTGACATCTGACAATGCCAATCTATCCATACAAGCAACCATCCTACTTGGTGAATTATTATATATGGTAAGTAACATCATTTTTTATTCAATAAAAGCGATGAATGAATCCTTTACTTTATGCATTATTTTGAAACCCTTGAGTAGACAGTTTTTGTATGTGCTTCTTTGTTCTTTTTCAAATTTCTTATTCAACAATCTGTATTAATTTCCAATCTCTTCCAGAATGCTTTTTGTTTGCACCATAAGCTGAACATGTCATCAATTACTGACTGTTTCACAATATATTGTAACAAGATTTTTTATAAAAGAAATCCATTCAATGTTAATTTTATCAACATATCATCATATTTCCTGAACAGGCGGACAAGATACTACCTCCCGACTGTGAGCAGCATCATCACTGCCTACCTACACTCATGACACTCGCTGCATCCTTTGATGTACCACTGCTACAGAGAAAGTAAGATATCTTTCACTTAACATCTCTTGTTACTACCCAAGAGAAACTAAGCTCTCTTTTGAGTAACTTCCTTTGTTACTCCAAGGAAAGTATCTATTAGATAACTTCTTATGGTGCTATGATTTATTCAAAGAAAACAAACAACATAGATACCCATTCAAAACACTCACTTGATATCTTAATTTCACCATGACGGTAAGTGCACTACATCTTATTTTATGATGATAAGCTGGTCTTCATATTGCCTTGAATTGTACAAACTATCTGTCTTGTATGTATGTATATATGCAACAGTTATGTTTTTCAATATGATAAATATGTCAAACTAGAAAAATAATTGGGCCTTTTAAATCTGTGCCACAATTGGGAAGTAACAATATGTTCATGAGATACATAAATTTGTATTTTTCATTTTACAAATGGTATTTATTCTTTTCTTTATTGTTTTCAGTCGTGCGAGTGCAGCCGTGACGAACCTAGAGCGGCATCACGAGATGAAGAAGCGAGGAGTGATACCATGCAGCCTGTATCTGGACCACATTCTTAGCAACTCAGACATGTTTGTCACCAGCCAGAGGGTGGTGGCTGACAAGAGCAAGGATATGGCAGTGGTATCAAGGGTAAGCCACCCCACTCCCAGTATGGTATCTAGGAAGGTTATTTATTAGGGAGAGATACAGGATAAAAGGGCAGTATGGAGGGGGAGCCACACCCTACAGTGTTTAAAATGTTAAGAGCTGGGGTGCAATGTACTTATAGCTAGGATGTACCATTGGTATCAAGGCACGCTCAGTATAGTATCTAGTTAGGTTGTTAGGGAGGGATACAGGGATATACAGGCGGTATGAGGGGGGGGGGGTGGGAGCCACACCTTACAGCGTTTATGTTAAGAGAGGGGGTGCAATGTACTTATAGCCATTATATAGCAGTGTTATCAAGGATGAGCCATACCATTATGGTATCATTAAGGTCCGTATTCTGCAAAAAATAAAAACCAGACACTGGGTTTAGGCTTTTGTTGAAAATGCGGTTTAACAAAGGAACTAAAGTCTGAGATTTCTCTGTTTCCTTTTAACAAACTGGTTGCTTTAAAAGATTTAGTAGAAGACAGACTTTGTGAGTATAGGTTATGAGGGAGGGTGGCAATTTTTTTAGAGCTAGTGGTATCTAGGGTAGCCACACTGAAAATAGTATTTATTACAGTTAAAGTTTTGAGGGAAAGTACAAAATGGTTAGAGCTAGGATGTACAAGTGGCATACGGTGTAAACACTCCTCGGTTTCTTATCTCATTAAGTGAGGAGCACCTTTTACGTGATAGAAATAAAGTGGAATTCCCCTGCTGTCACTAAATTGGCCCTATACATGTAATATGAAACAATAGTCTGTATGTTGAAAGACCTTTGCTGTACATGCATTTGGATATGTTTTCTCTCAAGCATTTTGGACTTAATTAACTGGCATATTTTCTTTGAAATGATGTACTCTGTTACAGCCAAATCTATGCCAATTGTATAGTTTGCTATTAAATATGTCTCTGCCATCTTGTTTGGTATGAAAGCTTGAGAATCGCATAGTTTATGTTTGATGTTGGCTATGCAAGATCATTGTTTCACAAACCATGTTGGGAAGATGAATATTTTGAAATGTGATGTCATTATTTGTTTCCATGGCACCAGGGTAGCGTTTCTCGAAACCGTCATAACTACAAGTTCACCGACATCCCATTGAAACGCGTGTTAAACTTAATACACGCATGTCAATGGGATGTCGGTGAACTTGTACTTATGACGGTTTCGAGAAACGCTGCCCAGACTACTAACTTGCATGGCTTTCAATGTACATTGCATGAAATTGACCACATTCTTGTCACGTCTATAACACATTTATTACTAACAAACCGATGTTACATCTTTTTCTTCATCCTTTTCATTTTATATATCCCCAATTTTCATATATACATCTATTCATCCCCTTATGAATATGTGATGAAAAGATACAATATCTCCACTTAATTATTTAGAATGGAAAACAGACAGACATGTACTTTTCATCTTTATTGAAATATTGCCCCTGTTATTGTAAATACAATAATTGCATAATATGGATGTGTAAGGTTACAGCAATGACATTCATACATGGTAACATTTCTATGATATTCTCATGTCCGTGGATACTTTCATTTTATCAAATTCGGATGCTATCTAGTTGCTGTGTAATATTTCAGTATAAATAGTCTTGTTTTTTTATTCAGAAGAAATTGTTTTTAAAATAATTTTTCAAATCAAAATGGGATTCCTCCCTCTAATCTTTTTTTTTTTTTATTTCTATTTATTTACAGAGCTCATTTTTGTTTTTTCTGAGCTCTTTTAAAAAAAAACTTTCCAGATCTCTATTGAATATTTTCATAGTTGAATCATTCTCTGTTTTCTTTTTTTAAACTTGAGGATGATATTAATTGCATGCAATGGGTGTTGGATGATTAATGGCACTAATTTTGTCTTTCCTGAACCTGACTGAAAAGTCGAGAAGCAGATCGTTCTCCTCGGCTTTGGGAATGCCTTCCTCATGGGACAAGATATCCAATCGGTCAACGCAGGTCTGTCGCAAATAAAACTCTTCTTCTCCTTCATTACTATTGTCTTTTTCTCCTTTTCTAGCACTAAAGGTGTCTTAGACAAGTGTGAATCATGCAGAATCAAATGCAAACTTATGCAAATGTATCTAGATTAATTTTGTAGAATTATTAGCAACCTATCAGTAGACAAACTAAATTTTGCGAAATTGGATGCAAATCTGTCCTGCAAGTGTGTCGACCTGAGTTAGAATTATATTTATCAAGAAATGAGAGATGCAAAATAATTTGCCAATTCTTTCATTAAGCTGAAATGTGCAGTATTAGTTGCAAACCTTTTGCAGTGAGCTAAAATATGCAGGATTATTTGCCAACCTAACCAAAGAAATAAATTTGCCATACTGCAAACCTATCCATATATTAATTTGCCCTTGTATGAAGTGAATTATGCCAAATTATTTGCCATACATAAAAACAACATGCCTATGCTTTAAAACCTTGGTCACACCCCTAAACCGACCAATTCTTGGCCATTAGGGGTAATATAATGCCTTGTTCGGTCTCTAGCGGGCTGGTGTCAGTCTCCTTGGTGTGACTGAGGGATTACAAACCTATCTATCTACTGATTTGCACCCTTCAGATGTAGTTTAACAGTCTTCTTTGCTTATTCCTTTATTCTTTTCTTATTTTGAATTTAAAAAAAAATATATATATATATATATATTTTGTTTAATAGTGCAGAAACATCTAAAGCCAATTGTAGTTCAACCACATGTTCGATTTGAGTCCAAAAGAGAATGGAAGTTATTTCTTTGACCATGTTTGTAGCAATTGAGATTACAACTTTGTATTTAACTATTATAAATAATATATGAGTTGTATAATTTTCTGCTTTTATTTTGACTTTGATATCCCTTCCATTAGTTTAATGTTTTATTAATTTTTTTTTTGTCAAAAGATTTTTGAATACTTCAAGGAATTAATGGTAAACTTTGTATGAAACACATTCATTTTGGTTTAGAGCTCTGTTTTTATTTTGCCACAATCAATCAAATGCAATTATTTATGAAATTCTATGGTATTCTGAAATTAGTGAACCCAAGATAAAAAGTAATATAATATCGTACAAGGGGAAATCACAAGTGTGGCCTGTACAAGGAGACAATTTGAGGGTTGCTGTGTGGAAGGGCATCTTAAGTAGTAGAATAATGCTAGCTACACATTCAAGACATTGTCATATGTAAGGATAAGATCTTGTAGCATTTGATGGATAAATATTACGTGCAAGACCTTAATTTTCTCATTTTCTTTTCCCTTTTCTTTTGTCAGAATTTAGTTTGGGATTTGACAAATTTGAATTACTTTTTATATATTGCACCAACTTTCATAGCATCACTTGCATGCCTCACGTTCTTGTGTTTGTTTATTTGCATTATTACACCTGCATGCTTGCATTCTCATTTGCATAATTTGCATAATTTGCATCATAATACTTCCTGAATGGAATTGATATTAATACATCTTGATTTAGAATTATTTCATTTTATTTCCAATGAAGATGAAATATATTGATTGTCAAAAAATGATATAGATTGCAATGCAAACAGTTGCTTCAACTTTGAATATCATACTTGAAATATGACTGTAAAATTATCAAGGTATTATTCTTTTACTTTACATTTCCAATGAAGAAAAGTATTATTCATTACAGTGTTGCATTCATGTAGTATACATGTGCAGATAACAGGTCATCTATTTTGTATGAATGATCATTGAAACAATACTCATATTCATTTGAAAAGTGGGCTATTAATCTACCATATGATCACAAAGCTTCAATCATGGAATATTCTAATCAATACAGAAAAAAATCATCAAATGTCATGCAAAATTGTTTGAAGAAAATCCACCCGTCAACTTTTTAAGACCAATTTGAAACCTTTTCAAAGCTGAATAGGGAAAGGTGTATGTGTATTAAATAGGTGAAAGGGCTTGATGACTCTGGTATAAAAGTAATCACTTTTTGCTTTAATACGGTAGTTTGAAATTGTAGTTTAGCAGTGTTTGAATGTCATGGAGAGCACAAGCTTATGTGATAACTGATTGCTTGATGTTGTTTAGGTGCTTTAGAGCATTGTCGTTTTTACAAGTTGACGAAGAGTGTAGGCTTGTATGAAAAGTAATCGCTAGACTTGTTCAAGTCAACATCAGTATTGTTGATATTACAGTTTTATACGTATGTAGACCATAAGCTGATGTGAAAAATGATCGTTTGGTGATTATAGTATTGGCATTCGTGCATAGAGAAATGGCATGTTTGATAACGATTGTTAGGCTTGATTAGTTGCATTTTAACAATGTTCTTGTTACAATACAGGCCTACATGTATATGTTCCATGTAAGTGAAACTTTTTAGAGCCATTTTAATAAGTTGAAGCATTATTTAGAGTTAAAGTAGTTGTGAAAGATACACTGAGTGTTTTAGAGCATTGGCCATTGTGATGTAAGAGATATATATTGCTTTGATATTGAACAGGAGAATGAGGATTCTGCAGTACAAACCATGATCAAAGAAACATTGGTACTCACAACTAAAGACCACACCGTCTGGAACTGGGAACTAATAGGAGGAGCAATCAAGGTAATTCATTAACTCTGTCTGTTTGTTGGTTAGTGTGCTTGTCTGTCTGTTTGTTTGTCTGAATGTCAGTTTCTTTATTCTGTTTGTATATGTACATTTCTGCCTCATTTTTGTATGTTTTTACATGATCCTTTGTCTTTCTTAACTTGACCATCTACATGTATTCCTTTCTGTGAGTTAGTCAAAATGATTCATATTTTTCGGTTGACTGGTTAGTGAAGTTCTACAAATAATTTTGAACTACAGGAGTATGTTATTTATGTAGTGAATCGTCAGTATTAATGTTCAAATGCATTTGTCAGTAACATTAACAATTACAATATGAAGGAGGTACAGCAGTTCAGATAGGTTCATTATAAATATCAGGTATTTCTTACAGGTGCGATGCTGTTATCTCTTCTCACTGTTTACTTTCTGTCACAGAATATGACAGGTGGGTTGGTACAATGATAAGCTTAGAGATAGAGGGCTAGGGATACAGGTTGGTTCATGTTACATAAGGAAAGGTTGTGACATTTAGTTAACCTGCATTTGAACTTTTGTGTTACAAGTTTGTTCTGATTTTGTAAAAAGGAGACATATTAAACATTTGGTATTGCGAGTTCATGTGAAAGGTCATTTGAAAGGTCATGGCCTTAATTGACCTGTGTTATCTCATGCTTTGTTCTGCTTTATAGAAAGGAGGAGTTACACTGAAGAAGTTTGAGGATGCTAATGTTAACAGGTGAGAAACATTCTTTCTATAAAGACCATATTTCTCGTTCCCCTTGAGCAGAGAGTTTCTCATTGAAACCTGTGTAAAAATGACATGCTCATAAAGACTGATTTTATTGTCTCCCTTGAGTGGTCTTTATATACAGGTTTGTCTATATTTTGTTTTCACATTACAGAGGAAGTTCACCGTGCCATCAAGATTTCTTTAATAAAACGAATGAGAGAAACAGAAAAGTGAAAGTTCTGAGGAAAATCTGATAAAGGATAAGAAAGTTATTAAAATTTTAGTTGTGAATGAACCAAATACAAACGTGGAATTGTGTGATTTTCCTTGGAGGCAGCTCTTCATTGTTCTACACTTGAATTTATTTCAACGATCATGGTAATAATCACTGTTATGATACTTGCCTTCATTTTGATCAGGTTTTTTCGTCGGTTGGTTGAGTTCTACAAGCCGATGAGTAAGCAGTACTCTGTGATCAGTCTCGGGCGGGAACTGGGCCGATCTAGTGAGATCCAAAGCTACACCATCATTGGATGTCAACTTCTCAACTTTCTTCTTAACTGCGATGAAGTAAGTCCTTGTAGTTTTTACATGCATATGATGATATTGATGGGGAAGGAGGAAGAGGGGGAGAAGAAGGAGAAGGAAAGCGGGAAGAGGAAACTTATTATGGTGATAATGGTGTTGATGTTTATGACAATGATAATGGTGATTGGGACTGAAGTTGAAGGTGATGACGGTTGACGTTGATGATAATGATGATGATGATGAATTTATCATCTAGTGAAATACTGATTAGTGTTATTTCTCTTATAACCCAATTGTAACAAATTGTAATAAGAATGTTTTTGTAATAATAACCTGGTTATTACTAGTACAATAGTTTTGCTTATATTCTTATCAATATCAACATTATTATTAATAATTGCACAACAGACTGATGCTGAGAAGCTCCTGATGGAGTTAACGGTAGACATTGGAGATTGTCTCCTTGAGATCAGCATGGCTCCACGTAACGAGCTCCCTCCGCAGGCCGTCTTCAGCCCATCAAGCATTCAAAACACACTCAGTCAAGATTACTTTCTACTGGTTGGAAAGCTATCTAAGACTCATGAAGGAGAGAAGATACTGGAGAAAGCTGGCGTCTTTCAATAGTGAGTGGGATTACTTCTTTTTTTACCAATGAAAAGACTGAGGAAGGGAGATACATGTATTGGAGAAAGTAGTATCGAGAAAACAAGCATCTTTCAACGAGGGCAAATTAGTCTGTAATGTAAATGTGTTTTGAGGTAGTGTTTAAAAGTAGAAGATTTTGAGGATTTGTTCGTTGCTTCTGGTTGTGCAGTGTATTTGACCTTTTTCTTGTTCCATCAAATAGAACTTTCCTAAAGATTTACTAAAACATTGTCAGAAACATGGAAATATGAGAAGTTTCTGACTAATTTAACAATGATTTGTTTGTTTAGTAAAACGAATTGTTCTTTCTAAAGATATGGGCCATTTCATTTTTCCTTAATCTAGTCATATATGCGTAGACTAATCTCTATGTTTTTGTGCACTTACACAAATTTGCGATCAATTATGAGGTATTTTAATAATGTAACGTTTTGTTATTTGATCCCTAACCCATGTTTCTGGTCTGCAGTATGATAAATATCAAATTTTACTTCGTCAATGACTAATGTTACGTTTGTGTTTATGTACAGTCTACTGGATGTGTGCTCGATGCCTCATCATGAGACGTTACAGAAGCTGGTCGTGACCTGTCTGGACTATAAGAGAGATGGCCTAGCCAGGACGGTCCTGGGCAAGATGTTAGCGGGATCTTCAGAGGTACGTTTTAATACTGTCAAACCTGTCTATAGCGACCGCCCAAGGGAAACACAAAAAGTGGCCTTTGTAGACAGGTGGTCTTTGTAGACAGGTTCCTTAAGTACATGTTTCAATGAGAAATCATTTTCAAGGGAAACTAAAAATGTGGTCCTTGTAGACAGGTGGTCACTTAAGCAAGTTTGACTGTACTATATTAGAGAGTAATAGAATGCTTCTGGTCCTGGTCCTGGTCCAGGTTCTGTCTTGACTTCAACAGAGATGGACTAGCCAGGACCGCCCTTGTCAATATGTCATCAGGATGTTCAGAGGGATATCAATTCTTTTAGACTGAAACAGAATCCTGCCAACTCCTGTTGTAGTAGGTTTGCTAGGACAAAACCTTTCCTTAAGAGCACACATTTCCAGTAATTTGTATGAATGGCATGTCCCTGATATAAATCATCCAGATACATGAAGAAGTTAGTGCACTATAGTTCATAAGCCTTTAATTACATTTAAGGAAGGCTCAAACTGTGTCTTTGCTCTATCTTGATACATGGAGCTTACATCTTTATCGACCGTGAATTGTTCTTTGCAGTCTATGAGGATATATGCAACCAATCACCTGCGTGTGTTGCTTCGAGCTCAGACACCGTTCTTCCACACGTGGGGTGTAGAGCTTCTCATCACTCAGCTCCATGACAAGGCTCGTACTATCAGCGGCCTGGCTCTAGACATCCTAGATGAAGCGTGTGAAGATGATGCTAATCTACACAGTCTGGTTCATATGAGACCTCCCCTACTACATATGGGTGATAAGGGTGCTCTATTACTCACTAGGTATGGGATCTCTTTTAATCCCTTTCTCCTTCCTCTCTTCTCTACCCTTGCTTCCTCCTTTTACCCCTTCCCTTCTTCCATCCATTCCATCGTCATATCTCCTTCCCTCCCTCTATATATACCTCGTTCCATTCTGATTCTTTTTTTCTTTTCAGTCTATCCTATCAAAATGTCCATTGAAATTCTTTCATGCCTCAGGCAGTTTGATTTGCACAAATTATGATTGTGTGATGTATTTTTACGGTAAAAAAGTGACTTCTGTGACTTCATGAATTCTACAGTGATATATCATGAAAATATGTCTGTCTAAGTGCTAAGACTATGAAAATACAAATATGATGGAAACATTAATTGTGAGATATATTTCTGTCATGAAATTAAATTTGTATTTTTGGTGGCACCGTAGGGGTTAAAATGTTCAATCTGTTGTTCTAGAGGCAGCATTTCTTGACAGGTTTCATGAAACCTGCTCTCTAGATAGTACCCACTTAATAAACTGAATCTTTGTTTTCTTCCTTTCAGGTTCATCTCAACGACCAAAGGCTTCAAATACCTCCACGATGTGAACTATGTCTCCCACGAGCTAGACCGATGGTTCACCTACTTCAACCGCAAGTACGTGACCCTGATAGAGACGGAGATCAACGAGGCCTTCACCTGCTACCATCGTCCTCACGTCTCCGGTGGTTTCATACGACGGTCCAAGGATGAACGTAGGCAGAGGAAAGATGTCTATGTACCGGTGCATCTCTACGGTCAGCTGGCCAAACATAGAGGAGGCTGTGAGCTCATTGAGAAACAGGTCAGCATACACATTATAGAGTACCGTATTTTCCGGCGTAAAGGCCGCAGTATTTTCGGGTGAGAAAAAATCAAAGAGTCGGGGTGCGGCGTATACGCAACAACAACAAAATTCAGCGGTCAAAACATCACGTCCATTTGCACGTATGGGACTATAGGAACGGTAACATGACTAGACAACGGTACAGGACAATTCTAGAATAACTCCACACAACTTACCGACAAGTTTATGTTGCATAGATGACATGAAGACGAAAAAACTTATTTTTCTAATAAAATCTGCCGATAGATCTAGATCTAAGTCCATACCATTGCATCGCCAAAAAGTAAACAAAGGGACAGGCCATTACTTACGGAGCTAGCTGCCGCGCAACGCAACTGCGCAGGTCGAAAAATGCTATTTCGGATTACACCGTACATCGAGGAAGGGGTATTGTAGGATACCAAATCTGCGTACGATACAGTACTAGCTTAAAAGTCGATGAAGATCTGCTAAATTGTGATCATTTTTGAGGTTAACTTCTTGTTGATTTATAAGAATATTGATGAATTTGGTATAGTTTGTAAAAAAAAAAGAGTGTTCTACAAGAAAATTACGATCATTTTGTTTGGTCCGTTTTTTTTTCTTCTTTTTTTTTTTTTTTTTTTTTTTGTAGTTTTTTTTTTTTGTAGTTTTTTTTTTTCCTCTACGAAATGTCAAAGTTGGGGGTGCGGCCTATACGGCGGTGCGGCCTTTACGCCGGCAAATACGGTACCTATACTTGTAAATGGATATGGAAATTTAGATGGAGCAAAGGGTTAATTGTTATGCATTTCCAAGACGTTTTGTAATACCTGTTTCATTCTGTATTTCTTAATATAGCATCTGTGGCAAAAAAAATTGAATCATGTGCAGATTTCAATGTGCTCTTTTCTTCATTTTATATCTGACCATAACACAATTGACTTATTTTGTGTCATGTCAGATATGTTTTTATCTACTCTGATTTATTCACAAATTGTGATATACATGTACTATTTGATTTTGATGTAGGTTATTTATTCACCTTTATACCACTTTTGTGCCATTTCAGAATCATATTGCAGAGATGTGTGAGGTGATACGATATGGAGATGTAGAGACGATGGACACTATACTCAATCTTAAGGCTGCATTGTGGGCATTGGTAAGTGAGATGGTCTGGAAAGAATTACCCTGAGAGTGTGTGATGGTGTGAAAGTTCTCTCTTGGAACCTAATGAGAGTCTGAGCCAGAGATCAGTTGATGAAGCGAATTTGTCTCTTATGAATGTCAGTGGTACACGTTCACTTTCTATGAAAACCATATGTGTATTTAACACTGTTTAGGAGTCTCCAGAAACATTTGCTGTGCTATTGTAAACTTTCATCAATGTTTGAAACTGTATTGCACAGTCAGGTTTCTCCTTTTTTTCTCTCTCTCTCTCCATCTCCATGTGTCTGTCTTTACTTTTATCTTTATTTTTATTTTATTCATTTTTAAAAACTCTTATTTCAATATTCTTTTCCCTTTCTACACAATGTAAAACTCTTGTTCTCTCTCTCTCTCTCTCTCTCTCTCCTCTCTTCTCCTCTCCTCTCGTCGCCCCTCTTCTCCTCTCCTCTCCTCTTCCCTCGCTCTCCTTTCCTCTCTTCTCTTCTCTTCTCTCTCTCTCCTCTCCTCTCCATCTCTCTGTAACTCTCTCTACCTTACTCTCTCCAGGGTCACACTGGTAGTACTACCTGGGGTCTGAAGCTGCTACAGCAAGAAGGTATCATCCCTGATATCATCAGACTCGCTGAGGAGTGTGAGGTCTTCTCTATACGAGGGTATGTATGGCAACAACTTTCTTTCAATCGCATCAAGTCCACTGCACATCTTATGACCGCAATACAACTCATTTTTATCGGAATTGCAATAGAAATACACTTTTGTCCCCTATACTTAAAGAGAAGGTTGAGTTCTTGGAAGAGGTGAAAAATAATTTGTGAGTGTTATCATTGTAAGTATGGAAGAAGTGTGGAAGAACATCAGACTCTTCAAATGCCTGAATATTCTAAATATGGCATGCAACAGCAGAAAAATTGTGACAGATTTTTATGGCACATGTTTGTGTAGTCCCATATACATATTTATGTGTATATTGCTTGTAACTTTACCAAGACTGGGCCAAATTGCTTATCATTTTGATGATTCCAGAACCTTGCAGTACACACCAATACTTATATGCTAGATGATCAACCTTTTCTGATCGATTCCACACCGTTTCTTTCACAACGCTGACCAGAACTCAAGTTTATCTATCTTTAACTTTCATCCCCTATGCTTTATGAAGCATCATGGAATACCGAACATAGAGTGACATTAAAAGATCATAACTTTTTTTGACATTTTGGAACACATACACTGAATATTAGCCTTGCTCTATTATGAACTGAACTTGTATTTTGTTGATCTGTTTCAGGCAGTAGCAGTTTTCACAGATATCATGATTTTGTTTATGTGCATGTAGTATTCAAGATGGTACACGTACTTGCTCAGTGGCACTTTGTTCTTATCTGCTGTCTTTTTGTTTCTTTGTTGTGTGTGCCTCAGGACCTGCTTCTATGTGCTAGGTTTGATCAGTAAAACAAGACAAGGAGCAGACAGCTTGAGCTGTTTAGGCTGGGAGAGCATCCGCCATAGCCGGGGCGAGTACTTCCCTGTGGTAGAGGACAGAGAGAACAATCTACCCACCGTCCTGCCCATCCCATTAGAGGAGTACAACCACAACCATCGAGATCTCTCATCTCCCGTCAGCTTACCGAGCTTCAGTACCTACAGCATTGACAGCCCTAAGACTCCAGGAGACAGCAGCACTCCAAAGGTTGACCCCAACGTGAAGTTCTTTGCAGGAGAACCTAGTCCAGTACAAAGTCCTCTGACGCCGGGACAACCACCAAATTTCTTTTTGGAGGTGACTGGGGATACAAACTCTGGAGGGGATGCTAAGGTGCTTCCGTCCACCGAGGAGCGATCAATGTCACCCAGCCCTCTTGTTAGACTCAGTAAGAGAGATCGAGTGAATTCAGCCACAGAGCAGCTACCAGGTATCAATGAGGTATCCGATGGAGGAAGAACGATCGTAGTTGATAGGGCGTCAAGGACACCGTTATTGCGTAGAGCGCAGACGATGCCTACAATAGAAGGGCAAGATGATGACGAGCCTCCGCCCTTTGATTCATTGATTACCAAATTACGCAGCAATAGCGATGCCAGCTCCAGAATGTGTAAGGACAGGAGCTCAGAAGGTGTGCGATTCAACCAAGATGTGAATGAGAGATCGCGAGCGCAGTCACGGGACCGGAGCCACAGTCTCAAGCGGCGCTGCGACAGCAATGAAAGTGGCAACAGCAGCATGGGGACCAAAAGTCGGAGCGAGAGCTTTGCGACGGACACATCTCAGACCAGCGGTGTGGGTTCGATGCATTCCAACCCCTCAAGTCCACCCGTAGAATCCTCCATGTCTAGCGTAAGCACCGTCTCCAGCTCGATGACTGTTAAGAGTATCCATTCCTCAGATACACTCCGTAAGAGGCACAATCTCAAAAGGACTCCAAGCTTTGTCAGGAGGATATCCAAGACTCTGTCACCAAACCTCAGCTCCTATTCCAATCTCTTTGAGACTAGTGCGGCTTTCACCTCTGTACGGGATGCTCATGGTTATGCTACTTTGAAAGCATTGAAGCTACAACACAGACAGCTGAGCAGTGGAGAGGATGATAGTTTGATTAAGAGAGCATCATCATTTGGGAATCCAAGCGAGATGAAGTTGCGCAGAGGATTGTCAGGAATGGTGGAGTAAGTCTGATTAATATTTTTTTTAATTATAGACACATGGCATATGATACAGGCAGGTATTTGATGACAAAGAGTTCTCTGAAAATCAGAATAGCACCCAGACTTTAACTCCAGACCTGTTTTATTGAGATAGAGCACTACTACCTCGTCTCTGGAAATGATCCATTTTATCTGGGTCCTGATTTCAATTCCATTATTTAAAGAATTAATTATGATAGCCTCAAGTCAAATATGATTTGATACTGCATGCATAAAGTCTTTTGTGAAATTCATTCATATAATTTTTGACAATCTTTCTGTTTTTAGATACAATTTATGCAAACCCATTTTATAAATATATTAGTTATATTGTGATGTGTTAAACAAGATGAATCACATTTCTGCTGTATGATATGAATCATAAATTTATTAATTAATGTATTATGACTATTGCAGGAGTATCAGCATGAGTTGTCTAGAGAGGGGGTCTGTCATGTCCAAAGCACCTTCTATGAAGTCTCTTCATCATACAAGCTCATCATCTACCACCAAGAATGAATACGTCGGTCTATGTTTACCTGTTGATGTTACTCTTATATTCCATGTAAGTCGTTACGAAGTATACTTTTCTCACGAAGAAGATATAAAAACCATTCACCAGGGCTACATTTTGCAAAACTTGTCATCAGTGACAAGTGACAGTTGTTGTTATAAGCTAGTGAAATCTTTGCTTCTGATTGGTTATCAGCAGATTTGTCATTGATTTTTGTCATTTTTCATTGAAAAAAAGCTTTGTGAAATGGGTCACAGGTTTAGGTAAAACTGAAATTATCGGTTAAATGGTAATGTAGCTGAGAAGAATTTGTTTTCTTCTAAATTTTGTTCAGGCTTTAATTTTTGACAAAAGTGTGGGGTAAGGGTTTAAGTTTGAGTTTTATGCTCGACTTGGGGCTAGGTTCAGGTACATGTTTAGTGTTACGGTAAGGGTATTGAGTCCAGAGTTGAAGAAGGAGTTTGATATAAGAAATTGAACATGGATTAATTGATGTATGTGTCGCATAATCATTGAAATGTAAAGGTTGTTAGAAGAGAAGAAAGGAATATGCATCTTTGGTCTTCACAGAATTTAATGGGATGGTGCTTCTGTGAATATTATATCTAGGTTTGATTGAAACATGTAATGACACTGGTTGAAGTAACTTTGTATCGAAACTGCAGATCACTTTCAACTGGTTACATATCTGATATAGCCCCTGTTTAAAAAAGAAGTGCCCAGCGCCCCATTGCACAAAACTTATCATTGATAGTAACTTTGCCATCAATGGTAACGATGGCAAAGTTACCATCAATGGTAAGTTTTATGCAACAGGCCCAGATCCATGACAATTCTACTTACATCCAATAAAATATAAGGATTTCAATAGCTTATAACAATTATTGTATCTTGCTATTGATAACAAGTTTTATGAAAGAGCGCCATGGACAAGTAACTCATTTGATATTGATTGATAATTTGACTTGTTTCCACCAGTCTGATGAGAGTCAATACAAGGATGGTCACAGCGCCCCCACGAGTCACGCCGTATCACCTGCCATGACAGACATCCACATACCTCAGGTTCAGGTCTACAGCCCAGACTCTGGTTCCACAGCCAACAGTAACGCCCCTACTCACACCCTGGAATCACCAACCAGCCACCCCTCGGACCAACATGATATAGCCCAACAGCACACACTGAGCATGGGGGAGGCGGACTATTCCAATCTGAGAATAGGGGATGGATCAGGTGTGAGGGAAGGGGAAGAGGAGGAAGAGGTACATATGGATAACAATCTGCATCAGATTGAGCATTGTCTGGCATGTACGAAGGTCAGGACAAGGTCGTTGGAGAGTCAAGATGGTGAGTAACTTTTGATTCAATATTTTCTTGTTCCAAAACATTAAAGCTATTGGAACTCAAGTGAATTACTTAAGAGTATTCAGAATAGTTTCCTTTATGCATCAGATGGTCTAAGATAAAAACAAAACAATGATACTTCTCTTATATACATGAACATGTAGACAACAAGTTGTTTTCAAATAACCCGGAAATTCATAAGAGGATTGGAAATAGTCATTTTATATGTCCAGCCACACAAACCCTTTTCTTATGGAGCCCAAAGAAGGTGAAGCTACATGTACCGAAGGAAATCTAAGAAGGTAGTACATGTACATGACCGATTGAATGGTTCATAATCGCACTTCTTTTTTTTTTCGGTGCCATTTCATGATTTTTCTCATGATATTTCATATCAGTACCTAGAGGGCAATGCCTAGAATAATTCCTTTTTTTTTCTCTCCATCAGGTGATTCTATTCCTCACCCAGATGACCCAGCGTCCCTGGTCATCTTCCAACCGGTCAACCCTCCTCAACCGCTCCTCATCCGTTCCCGCGGCAGCAGCTCGGCCAGCGCCAGTAACCCGTTCGGTAGCAACAGCGTAGACAATAACACCCCTACCAGCGTGGGTAGCTCAGGGACCAGCGTCTCACAGTCCAGTCAAGGAGCAGTCAGGATGAGGGATGATACGCCCAAGGGAAGAGAGATGATTAGGAGAGAGGTCATCAGACTGGTGATTAAGATGAGCAGCTCAGTGGGCATGAAGGCGCATGAAGAAGGATTGCTGGGGTAGGTGGAAATCTCTCTCTTTAAAGATAAGGTTGAGTTCTGGTCATGCAATTGCATTGTGAACGGAACGTTGTGGAATCGATCAGAAAAGGTTGATCATCTAGCATATAAGTATTGGTGTGTACTGCAAGGTTCTGGAATCATCAAAAAAATTATAATTTTGGCCCAGTCTTGGTAAAGTTACAAGCACTGTTCACAGAAAGATGTATATGAGACTACACGAACATGTGGCATAAAAATCTGTCCTGATTTTTATGATAGTACATGCCATATTAAGAATATTAAGGCATTTGAAGATGAAGCCATGCTTTTCAGGGAGCATTTTTTATCTGATTTCTTCCACACTTGCGTAATACAATAATAACGCTCACAGATTATTTTTCACCTCTTCCCAGTACTCAACCTCCTCTTGAAATACTCATCAATATTTCATTATTCCGTAAAAAAAACTATAAACACGTAACTGCAAATGGTCCCTTTGTGTGTTTTAACTATTGTTGAAAAGTTGGTTCAAATATGAACATAACCTGGTATGAACTCATTCATTTTAGAATAACTAATATTTTTGTATTGGCATAAGTTGGTCTGGTGGAGTTATATTTACACTTTTGTGAGAGTTTATTTCAATGCTCTGTTATCTTTTGAAAATTCCCTATCCAAATATTACTAACTTAGTTTCGATTTAATATAAGAGAGAAAAAATTATTTTTTTCATTTGAAAAAAAAAAAAATTTGAGCAGAGATCCTGTTTAGAAGAGTTCTCAAAGAAAAATGCCATGGGTGTACCGTTTATTGTATTTTTTTCAGCAATTATTGTTTGACATTATCATCTTACCCAAAAATGTAATGCTCATGCCTGTTTTTGTTTCAGATTACGTGAGAAGTTTCCTAAAGCCTTTGAGAGGACTTGTTTATTCTCCGATGTGATGAATCTAATAGCAACCAGTAGCTACAGACTCTCATCTAGAAGATTCATACAAGAACTCTTCCAAGAAGTTCATTTTCATGAGGTACGATGTCCTCTCCTTTCTAGCATTTGACTTTTCTTGCTTGGTCCTTTTTCTAAATTATTATTGAACTCATTCAGGAGTTTGTGGCTCGGCTCAATACCTTCTGATTCTGAGATATAATATAGATATATCATAATCATGAGTGGAAAGAGGAAAAAAAAAATTACACATGTCATTTACATGGCATTATGCGTGTACACTATGTCAGTTTGAACTTTTAAAAAGAAATATAAGTATGGACATCTGAATATTTTGTTTTGCTACAATAATGGCCAAATTTGATAATTCACACACGTTTAACAGTGTATAGTTTTAAAGTAGTTTCAGACTGTTTTACCTGTTTCCAGTGAGCAGTTGTCTAAACATCTTTTAATAGACTGTAATAATCCTCTTCTCCTTCCTTTTTCAAGCTCCATCATGAAGCCGAGAGAATTCTGGGTTTGGAAGAGAGCAGCGATACACAATCCAACTCATCAGGATCCTGACCTCGGACCTTGGACCTCCGACCTTTGACCTCTCATTCTACTTGACCAATCAAGACAGAAACATTGTGCTACTGCAATCAGTTCCTCAAGTTTTCTAGTCATCGAGTAACAAATCATGTGCAATAATTTTAAGTGAACTTTCTGCAAATGTATCCTTCAGAATTGTTTGAGAATTTTATTGATGCAGTAAATGTAGACTAGAATTTTATTTTACCTGAAAGAGCCACGTTTCAGTGAGCTTGTAATAATGGATATACTCAGTGTGTCATATCATGATGGTATTTATTCATATTTTCAGGTTTTATTCATTGTAAATTGCTGGTCAGCACAGATATATATGCTATGCTACATACAATGTAAAGGAATCTAGTTTATCTAGTAGGGTCTAGCTAGACAAGACTAGCAAGTTGTGCTTGATAAGTAGCACCTAGGCTAGAGAGATTATGTAAGATTGATGAAAAGTTGACATTGTTCACAGATTGGACATGAAAAGTTTATTTTTCAGACCTCTGTATTAAACCGCTATTTGTTTCGTTGATTAGACGGTGCTTACAAGAGCAGCTAGTACTTTACATTCAATAAAGAAAACAAAGTTGATTGATTCCTAGAAATGTATGTATGTTGACTGCCCTGTACTTGTATGCAGGTACATGTACAAAAAAAAAAACTGCTGCTGTCATAAGGCGGGTCTTGTGCTGTAGACTAACTCTATCTCTCTCCAATATGTAGGCCTTGTACTTGGAATGTCTAATTTATGCAGTTGTATGCAAGCTGATTTTTTTAATGCTGGGCATTAGCCACAAAGAATTATGTTTAAATGTTAAAATAGAGTCTTTAATTTCTATTATTTAATTATGTGATATTGATAGGTACATGTACATTAAGTGGGTCTTTCTGGTATTAAGTTAGGTAAATTCATGAAATTTATAGCATTTATGGGAAGTATAAAAGAAAATAAATTTAAAGGTTAACTAATACATCAGATTTTTATGGCGCCAAATCCACTTAACAATCAAATGCTCAAGGCGCAGACTCTGTATTAATGATAACCCTCAAGAAAGAAAGATTACCGACAGTCCTTTTCAGGACTCCCCAATCCTCCCCCTCTCTCACATGGTGCAACCGTAAGCCTACTGAGATGAAAGAGAAGAAGAAGAAGAGCGCATAATACTAGCATCTCAAAATTCCTTATATATATTATTACTCTATCATTGCATTGCATTCATTCTTGCACACAATGTGTGCACCATCTCCACTCTCCGGAGAGTATTCTTACCATATGGTCACCTTGAGGGCATACAGGCATGGCACATTCAATCCCATTGTCTTTGGATCCTACCACATGCTCCTTTTATCTCCCGGATAAAGAGTAGCAAATGTAGATTGATACCTTCAGGGGGCATGTGTCATGACTGCACATCAAGAATGTAGCAATACTTAAAAGTGTAACGATCATCAAATCCTGTTTTGCTCTTGATGTAAGGTTAAGGGTTTCCATGGTGCTATACTGTAGTCAAAGTATGAGCTTCAAGTATTTCTTCTACAAGGAGAAATAGAAGTTTAAATGCAATCCCAGGGAACTGTAAAATACCTTGTTTAGTGGACTTGTTAACGCACACTTGCATAGAATAGGGCGCTCAAGGTAAACCAAGTTCCGTTTTGACGTGAGAAATTGTGAGGTTCACAAATGAAATGAGTTGAGTTGCATACCATATACAAATACAGTCAAACCTGCTTTAGTGACCACCTGTCTACAAAGACCACATTTGTTGTTTCCCTAGAAAAATGGTTTCTCATTGAATCATGTAATAAAGGAACCTGTCTACAAAGACCACCTGTCTACAAAGGCCACTTTTTGTGTTTCCCTTGGGTGGTCGCTATAGACAGGTTTGACTGTATCTTAATTCTTTGATCTAACTTTAATACTCTTGGATTTCTGGAAGTTTTTAAAATACATTTCCTCTGATTTTCATACATACTGCGAATTTCACGGGAGAAACTGTATGGATTTTGTTTGTTTATTCTAAACATATCCAAACATTGAGCATCATAATAATGCCTTATCATATAATTAGGAACCATACAATTGAAATTGAATTCCACTTTTCCATATACATGTTATCATATTCAATCTCATTTTAAGTTCAGATACATTAAATACACTTATATTGTGATTTTAATAATATCATTAGATAATAGGAACTGCGGTTTGTCACATCTACAGTTTAGTATTTGATGAAAAGTTGTTGGTAATCAAGAAACTAATCTTTGGATGGGGATAGAATTCTATTTCTAAATTTGATCACCTATAAGGTCTCAATCATGTCTATTGTGTAAGCTACATGTATGTGTCTGTCTTTGACTATAAAAAAATGGCAAAAACTTTCATTTGCAATATTATACCTGTTCTTCATCTACATGTATCTGGGTCTCTCTCATTATATATATTTTATTGGAGGGTTATGATTATATATCAAGTTTTGTTTTCACATGACAAGTATTCTTAAGCATAGAGAAAGATTTAAAGTTTTATCGCAGTTTATATAAATGTTATTAAAACCATAGGTGCGTCTCAAAGAAACATGTATCCCAAGCTGTACTTGAAGCTGTTTATGCAAGTCAAGAAAAGAAAATAGATTTATTGTAACCCACCTCGGCCGGCATGGAGAGCAATGCATTTGATTTATTTCATGTGGGAATTGGGTACTAGATTGTACTTCATTCAGCACATACAGTAACAACTAAATTATTCATACCCTCACCAACCTTTGTAATTGTTAAGTCTGCAAAAAATTGATTTTTCCCAATTTATACTTCTTGAGAATGTGACATATTAAAGATTACATCTAAAAGTATTCAACAAAGGCCCTCATTCAACCAGTCCACCTTTATTTCTTAAACACAAAAAACATAAAATTTACAAGGGGTATGTATAATTTAGTAGTTAACTGTACACGTATGAGAACTGAATTCATTCATAATACATGTACAGATCATTGAGAAGTTTAGCATTGGACATTATGGCTAGCCATGACACACAATGTTCAGTAGATGTACATGTCTGTCAATGAAGACGATTTCCCAAATGCTTTCAATAATATACATTTTTGTAATGCCTGGCTAAAAGTAGGATTGTTCAGCGACATCTTAAAAACAATGCTGTGTGTACAATTCCTTATGTTTTATGATTTTATTGTAATGTCTGTTTTGTAAATGTCATTAATATCATGTAATTATTGAAGAGAATTCTGTTTATCTGAAATACAATAAATAGGCTTTGCTTCGTACACAGAGAGATGCAAGATGTGTAGTGTTTTTATTTGTGAGGATAATGAAACAGAGGAGTTGAAAACTTGTTTAAAACCAACTTGGTAAAGGATTCTTTACTTCATAAATTCATCAGCTTCACTTCTACAGATTGCAAACACTGCTGTTTTTCATTTCTTGCTTCATTTTCTAAATATAAATACCTAAATCAGAAGAAAATTTACATGGATAGAAAAACGGATATACTTGACAAAAATAGTCAATGTACATGTATATAGCAAAACATTAATTTTGTTATTACATCCCTTATCGTAAGATTGTTGCATTAGGAGTGTACAAGACAAGAAAATGAATAGTTTTACTATAAAAGACGTTTCCTGCCACCTACATCGAAATATAGTACATTTTTTATTGATGACGTCACGCATAGTCCCTTTTTTTCCTAGGGAAAAAAGGGACTATGCGTGACGTCGGCGAGCGTACAAGATTTCAATGCCTCGGCTCACAGCGCTCAAGCATGCGCACATGCAATTTGCGCTGTGCGCGTGATAATTGCACTACACTATACGCAATATTAATAGTGCAAGTTTCTTTTATTTCTTTTAGATCTGAATGTAAGATGTGAATGTGAGTATAAGGTTCATGTTATTACAGAAGTGTAGGAATAATACAGATGGAAGGGATATAAAACAAATATAAAATGACTCATTCTCGGAACAAGCTATAACTATTCGCACCTTCAGGAACGTCATTAGTACTATTCTCCCGAGGGCCATCTTGTTCCTTCGATGCAAATAGCTTCAGCTAGACCCTCGAGTGTCATTGTATATTTGTATACTATTTTCCATGTTTCATCGATTCAAGGATTATGTCCATTTTAATTTTACAAAAATTCCTGGTGTCATACGCCTTATGTTATTACATGTAAAATTGTATTATGTAATTATTGAAGAAAATTCAGTTGATCTGAAATACAATGAACACATGCGTCTGGTATATTTTAAAAAGTATCAGACCAGGGGGGTGTTTCACAAAGATCCTAAGTAGAACTTAACACTAAGTTGGACTTAAAAATTATGGACAGCCATTGGAGCCTTAAAATGAAATATATCCAAAAGCAGAAATTCAAGTGTTTTAGACTTTTTTTATAAATTCCACGCCAAGAACATGAAATCTCCCATGATAATAGGAAATATTAATGATTTGAATCAACATTTTATGCCTTCTACAAAGAAATTTACAAAATATTTTCAAGGATGCTAATGGCTTCCCATAATATTTAAGTCCAACTTAGAGTTAAGTTCGACTTAGAATCTTTGTGAAACACCCCCCTGGGCATGCGTGCAGTGAGAATCTCAAAAGATCAAAGGGATAGTTTAACAGTGAGAGAAAGAGTGAGAAGAGGGGACAAAACACAAATAAATGCAGCAGGAAACCAATCGACAAAACATGTGAAAGAAACTGAAGAGAGAGAGAGAGAGAGAGAGAGAGGTTGTAATAAATATCACTTTATTGATACTAAGCATACAAAACATGTTCCCATGTATTATAGGGAGTGGATGGCTTGATGAGACTGGCTTGAGTTCATAGGAATGATTATTACTAAGCACCCTTTCCATTTCATATGGAACATGATGGCACTTTATTATACACACTTAGATTGAGAGTGAGATAGATGTATATTATATGGTATACAAACTGAAATCATGAAAAGCATGTCCATGATGTACACATACTTGTAAGACACTTTATGCATGGTAAACATCCATTTCTAGTTTTCCAAATGCTGTTTACATTTGTAATAAACTGAAGGTACATGAACAGGTAAATTGCATATCTAATCTCAGTAGCAGCATTACACAAACATAACAGAGCAACAAAAAAAGAAGACAAAATTACCAAAAATAGTACCATGAAAGCTGAATAAACAGAAGTTAACTTAGTAACAGATACAGCAGCACCACCACTACCTAAAAACAGCGTGGAACCAAAAGACACGAAAGATATCTAAAATAAATACCAATGAAACAAGAGCTAACACTTTATAAATGTACTATGTGACCTTAAAGATAACACTATATAATATACTGAAGTTGACTTACATCTAATATGAAGTAGTCAACTTTGTGTAAATCAAACTTCAACTTGCACAATTAAATACTAGTAAGTGTTTTGTGACATTTTAAGATAAAGTTGAGTTCTGGTCATGCGATTGCATTGTTAAAAGAAACATTGGGGAATCAATCAGAAAAGGTTGATCATCTAGCATATAAATATTGGAGTGTACTGCAAGGTTCTGGAATCATTAAAATGATAAGAAACTTGGCCCAGTCTTGGTAAAGTTACAAGCGCTGTACACAGAAATATATATATATATGGGACTACACAAACATAAGGCATAAAAATCTGTCTAGATTTTTATGCTGTTACATGCCATATTTAGAATATTAAGGCATTTGAAAAGCCATCCTTTTCAGGAGAAATTCTTTATCTGATGTTCTTCCACACTTGCATAATAACAATGATAATGCTCACAAATTATTTTTCACCTCTTCCCAAAACTCAACCTTTTCTTTAAACTGGTAATTCTCTCTCTCTAATGAAAGCTAAATTTTGAGTTATAAAACTTGCACAAGGCCTACTTACACTAGGTTAACTGTAATTCCTAACATACAAGGAACACAGCAAGGCCACTATTAAGACTTCACATATATCTACATGTAGAAGCTTACTGATCAACAATCATGACGATACTCAACACATGTATATTAAAATATATTAACAAAAAACAAAAACTACAGAACAAGAAGCTATAACATTCTATTTTAGTTTAAAACATAATTTCGCCAGGGGCCGATATCTCTTGGCCAAATTAATATTGACTTTTCAATTGTCATGGCAATGTCCATTGCAAAAGCTTCACATTTAAGCTAGCAAAGCTACACATGACAACAAGAAATATAGGAACTTCTACTTAGGGCACTATTATTTATCATCTGGAACTATTGTGTAGAGAATGTAAATTACAGTACATTCACTTCAGTTGTACATTTACTGGTATAAAAATGATTAAGCCACTCAGCTCATTATTACAAATGTTAAGTACATCTTTAAAAAATGTTAAGTACATGTTTAAAAACTTATCTCTACATATATATTACAGGTGTAGGTTAAAAAAGATTGTCTGGCAGTGTTGATAAAAACATTAGCACCATGATTTTCACATAAGTTTTTTTACTTTTAATAGGACAGAACATACATGCATAGCACCAAAACTGTTTTTATAAAAGTTATTCATGCATATTCTGACTTATATGACAAAGGTATATGGAGAATATAAAAATAGACTTCAAAAATTTGTCAACAAAGGTGAAATGAATCATTATTTAATGAAGGCATCCTAAGAACAAGTATAACATTATTCTAAAGACATATTTAAACAATTATCAAAAATATTCATTTCTTTATCAAAAGTCTTTCAAAAGATCTACTGGCACGTCAGTCATTACAAATTACAGATAAAAAATAGGGAACTACTCCAGAGTTCTTGCATAATAATACTAAAGGCACAGCATTTGTAACTACATAAAATTGGGATACAGTATGCTTGCTTTGCTTAGTATTGCATAGACAAATATATTTGCATTATATTACTTTAATGTGTTCCAAGTTTGAGAGAGCAATCTGCGATAATTGGTAGTTAAGCCATGTCATATAAATGATATAAACAAGTATGATTTACTGTACTGCAGCCTCCAGATGAAAAGAAGTGATCTTTCTAACGATTGATTAATCATTCTTTCCAACTTGATGTACAGCAATGACATTATATCATACCCAAGTCACACTGAAGGTACCCATTATTGACCAACACGAAACTAATAGTAAACCAACATCACAACCCAATGGCTCAGAATCTGTCCATTATCTGTCAGTTTCATGTGACTACAGGCAGTGTGGCTGGGGTATTATGAAGCTATTACAGGATTTACAATAGGTTTAATAGACTAACAGATATACTTGGAATGATGGTGAATCATTTCTGACTAGCCAAACTGGTGATGGGGCTTCCCCTGTTGGGGTATTTCCCTATGAGGGGAATCCCCCCCCCCCCCCCACTCAGGGTATTCCCCTATCACTCAGCATTCTTCATACATACATAGCTCTTAGCAGTGAGATCACAGTCCTTGTCTATCCATCGTAGTCTAGCTGTGATGTAGGTACAGTCGTATCGATCACTACGGTTTGAGGTCCGAGCCGACGGAGACCATCTTGAGAAGGTGATAGGGTCTCCTGACACCCACTCCCATTGGTCCTCAACTTGCTTGTCATTTAGACCTGGAAATAAAAAGGTATTATGTTATGTATTTACTATACAATAGGTATCTCCTAGGGGGGAATCATTCAAATTTTAGTGTCCAAACTAAATGAACCTAAAAATTAAAAACGTGGCTAGGTAGCCATTACGGATTGTGTTAAAATTATGATATATGTATTATATAATGAATAAATAGTAGGTTGCTACAAATTCTTGAGCACTTTTACATGGAACCTTGGCTCAAGCCGAGGTACATGTAATAATACTACTGTTGCACAGGCATCAGGGTGTATTATGGTAGTACAGGTACATGAAGCTGCTTTCACTACCGGTATGCGTACTACATATTTTTTTGATAATGTCTCCGTTCAAATTGCTCATGTAGACCCACTTGTAAAACTACGTCTTAAACACTGATGAAGCCATCCTAGTAAAATGTGACTGAAAAAATAAGTAATAATCTAAAATAATTGCAAGTTTATCCAAATTTTATTGAAATAATGTATTTTATTTGTTATATATATTCAAACTGAAGGTAGGCCTACTTCTGAAAGTCACATATTACAGGATTACATAATGTGACTTCTTCCTTTCTTCCTTAATAACCCTCTAAAAACTCTGATTCAGAATTACTGCTCTTATAACCCTATGAATCTTTGAATCACACAAAGACCAATCAGTTTCATATTAATTATTGAAATATACATGTATGTATAATAATTCCTCGGGTCCTGGTTTAAACTATAGCTTCTCGGTGATCATGAGACTGCACTGTGCCCCTCGACGTTGTCTTAGGGCACAGTACAGTTTTAAGATCCCCTTGGGCAATAGTTTTCACTGTGCCCCTCAAAGTAGTAAATATTTGTATAATATCAAGCTGTTTCTTTACCTATCCAAGCAGGTTCTTCACTCAGTAAATCACCAAGCCATTTCAGCTCTCTCTTAGACAGGATGCTAGCCAAATTACCGTTGTACCTGTACAAAACACAGAGGAAGACAGACAATTAATATGAGACCAAAACAAAGAGTATATTAAAGACAGAGAGGTAGAAAATATGTTGTAGTAAAAAGATACAAATACATGCGCTCCAAATCTATAGGGGATGAAACTTTAACACATTCCCCAAGGGTCCAGACTCCTCAAACTTTCATGCAACTTAATGATGGAAATTCAACACTGGACTTACTTTTGCCACATACAGTTGTCGTATGTAGCAATTCATAAGAGTGTTCAGAATTTCTGGAAGCAAATAAGATGTCTATGTACATACTCTGTTAATGCAAGTACATACTATGGACTATTCATTTTGTCAAGTTCCCATTAGGCTTTCACCACCTATCTAAAATAAATAATAACAACATATTCATCTTCAAATACCTACAATCACCTACAAAAGTCAAGAGTTCCTAGTGCTATTATTATTCTGTCTAATTCTTCTTGAGATTGAGAATTTTCTCTGAGTTTCAACATTGTGAACCTCGCCTTTCTCTAGATATCCTGAGCCCTGTTCAATGACTGACTGACTCTACCCTTTACTGTAATTCCATGTCATCATTCTTAAGATGTAGAACTCACCGTTCTCTACATATCCTTTGAGCTTCATTCCATGATTGAGGGTGTCTTGATATCAGAAAACACCTGCTGTTATGGTAGCTCCAGCCTACAAATACAAAACGAATATCAATGAGTTCATGAAATAACTGTCTGCATAGGCAAGTCATATGCATCAACATCACAAGGGGGTGGGAGAGAAATAAAAACCAGTCCATCAAACAAAGCATACTTGATCAAGATTATGTTTCTTTGTGCTTAGACCTGACATGCTAAGCCTCAAGAAACCATGAAGGATATCACAATTTTCATTTGATCAGAAATGTACATTATATTCCATCTTATATGAAATATTGATAAACTTGCACATATCTGAATAAAGAGAAAGACGTTACTTAGTATGATACTCATTCCTACCTCTTTCACACTGCCCATTGTCGTAAGCAGTACCAGTAATTGCTCTTACAAGCTGTGATATATCAAACTCCATCCAGTAGTTGCCATCACACTTAGCTAAGCTCCCAGAATTTGTGTCCTGTCGTATCTCTCCTATGTTAGCCGAGGAGCAGGGGAAAGAAAATGTGGACTGGGCACCGGGAGGGGGCTGGGAAGAGAAAGAGAGAAAGATCTGGGTTGAATCAAATGTTAGGGATGGGTTTTGGATATTTATATGAAATCCCTTTCGGCTAGTAAAGACCTTCACCTATTCTGTGCTACTAGGTGGATGACTAATTATCAAAAAATGAACTTTCTAGAGTAAAATTCAGGGTTTAGTTCATTGTTCCAAAAATGAATATGCTTTTAAATGTCTTCATCAGAAACAACCATTACAGTGTGTGACACATTTCTCTTCAAATATAAAAGAAGTAGATGTACATGCAGCTTTTAATCTAAACATTTTAACAGATCACTTTGGGGCAGGATTCCCCTCTTCCTATCAACCTTTAACTTTTTCTTATGTTTCACTTATTTCTCATTTCCAGAAAAAACAATGTACCGAGATTCAAAATATAATTATTATCACCTACAAGAATTGTAGTATTAAAGGTACTATGTCCCTTTTGCAGCCAACCTCAAATGCTGTAGAACTTTGCAGGAATTATGAATATGTCATGTATGTCCTATCTGTGAAATTTAAACTTTAACAGTGTCCTCATATTCAAATTATGCAAGGAAACCAGTTTACTTGCTAGACTTCACTGTCAGACACTATTGAGTGACTGACTGGCTTTTTTTCTTCTTTGGCAATAAAATACATGAAAAGAGTTGTAAAGGGTACATGAGCATTTGTCTACATCAAAAACCCACTTCTTGTGATGGCCAAGATTAAACTGATTGAATGTTTGCGCAGCATACAACGTATGACCATTCGGTACAATAGTCTGAAAATCAAGACTATTACTTTCGGGCTCTATAGCCCTAAAGTCGATTTGACAACTAATAGTCGTTATTTTCCCACTTGAAGACATTTCCAAGCCCCACCTTTTTTAGGGAAGTTCTAAATTAGTATTATCTTTCAAATGCAGTTAGAATTTAACTTTTTCATATTTTTGGCCTGCAAATGGGACATAGTACCTTTAAAAGCCTTGATATAAATGCAATCATCCATGTTACCTGATTGTCCGCAGTCACCTGAGTGTTGCCTTGACCTAGAGCAGGTCGTCTCTGATTCACAGGGGATCCACCACCAGAGGGCGCTGCAGGGGTCAGTATGGGCCTCTGGACTCCTCGGACCACGGTTGGCAAAAATACGTTGCTCACATCTGTCTGTGCACAAGGATAACAATTAATTATTCATCTCATATCTACAAGCATAATTAATATATTTAAATTGACAGATACTTATTTGCTAAAATGTTTGAATATATGTGAAATGGCATTGCTTCAAGTATCACTATGTCAAAATACATAAGGGCAGGGCTGCGATTGGGCTGGGTATCGTGTCGGGTCCAGGATTAAAGATAGACATTCAGCTTGTGTCAACTGTGACCATGAAGTAATTGCTGCCAGAGCATACATGTACATTGCACAATCTTGACTTTGTTATTTTAAAACTTGCTCTACAAAAAAAAAATACTTTTGGAAAATAAATCCTAATTGATGTCAGGTTAGTATTTACCTGTGGTGGTTGATCCTGCTCCAACTGTCCTGGTCGATTTTCTGCTAGTACTATGGGTACAACCTGTGATTGACCATCACCACCCCCTAAGGTAGCATGGTACAGTCTAACATCCCCATCAGATGCATGCGGAGGCTGGGCAGGTTCCACTGCTCCCTGGGGTGGGGGGTAGCCTCCTGCACCCGAAGGGACAAAGGGTTGCTCAAAACTAGTTGCTGAGCCAGGGCTTGGAGGATTTCCTGGGGAAGCAGGCTGATCTTGTGGGTATGGATTGGGGTTACCAATCGGATACTGACTGCCATACTGATTTGGATTGAAGTTAGGATCAGGACCACCCTGTGGTGTCACAGCCCCCTGGGAAACTAATCCATCCTCACAGCAATTCTGATCGGGTAGTGGCTCAACATAAACAGGTTGTGATCCATGTTGCCCTTCATAGCGAGTCCCGTCCGTGCCGTCATAACCCACTCCAAATGGGTAGCGGTACCAGGTCTCTTCTGCGTAAGGATCAAACTGCTGTTGGTCAATCCTAGGTGCTCCCGGTCCATCATTAACGGCAGGATCAGCATCAACTAGACTGCCCTCATCAAAAATTGGGTCACCTACTCCAGGTTGGAATGGGTCATATGGACCTGGTCTAGGAAACGGGCCTTCTCCAGGGTTGTAAGGACCTGGTCCAGAATTAGGCCCACCATCTGGTCCTACCCCAGGGTTGTACAGACCAGGCCCAGGACCTAGTCCACCATCTGGTCCTACTCCAGGGTTGTACAGACCTGGCCCTTCACCAGGGTTGTAAGGACCAGGTCCAGGAATTGGACCACCATCTGGTCCAACTCCAGGGTTGTACAGACCTGGCCCTTCACCACGGTTGTAAGGACCAGGTCCAGCATCTGGATTGTAAGGGTAGGTATCCTGTGGTGGTATCCCTGGTACTGGAACTAGCCGATGATCCACTATTCCTGGTTGATCTACACAGCATCCTGGAGTATCAACTGCAGGTCTAGGATCTGTAGGGTTACTCTTGCACACACCTACATGAGAACAACAAAGAAGCAGAATACCCATTCAAGTAAATCATACCTGCAGCTATATCATTTCACATGAATTCTAAAAAGCTATAAAATGGTAAAATTATAAACTTTTTAAGGCAATCTTTAATAATGGAATTATTGTTAGCATCCAATAAGAATATAGCATGTAATAAAAAGTCAGCATTATTAAACTGATAATCAAACTTGTTGCTAAATTGCCCTTTCACTAAATGGGGATGTCAAAAGTACTTTTTCACATGCCAGTGACTGCATCAGAGATTTCAGAACGTTTGATAATTGCATTTACTTAATAGCCCAATTAAGAGCTATACCACACTGGTAACATATAGGACACACATGACAAAATACCTTGGAGGAGCCAAATAATGAAAATAAATGTGACAATGAAAGATGTACATGTAACTCACCATCCTTGGCATCCTTGATAACTACTGTAAGCCTGTTATAATCTCCAATCACCGCATTGACTGGATCAACCAGAGTCACCCTGAACCTCTCCCTCGTCTCCTCCAGACCATCCTCTATCAGGACAGCACCCCACGTCACCGTGGTAACTGCTGGATCCAGCTGGAGGAGCCTAGCCCTGCTGGGTTGGTAGTCCAGGCCAGCGGTAGCAGTCAGGTCCTGGAGCTCTATGCTGACGAAGGAAGACAGACGCTGGTTGCCGATTCGGATAATTGGAATGGAGAGCAGACCATCGGACTCACAGACCATGAATTGAGGACGAGAGAACATCACCACAGACCAGTGCATAGAAAACCTGGGTCAGAATAAAATCATTACATCGTTAAAATACCGCCTGAATGAGACAGCCTTTTATATTTCAACTTTACAGATATCTTTTCTTAATTGAAGATATCTAAAGTTTTGGATTTTGCACAAAGAGAATATTATCAATTCATTGTAACTTATAAGAATTCATTTATTTATTTGATTGGGAGAACATACATGTATAGAAGTACTGTATAATCTTGAAATACTTACAGTTTCACTTGAGTTTGAGGTCTTTGCTTTATTGACATGGGTATACCTCTACATGTGCTTATACAAAGTCATTACTACAGTGTATATAGTTACTGCATGTGAATATAGATCAATCTTCTGACATTAAACTAAATTTCTTATGTACATAGGCCTACTTCTACAATGTGGCACTAAATATATACATGCAGATGAGATTGATTGTGTGACAAAATAATAATCATACATGTACCTTTGATTTTTCAAGCTGTTTTCATGGCAATCCCAGACATCAAACATAAAGCTGTCATTTGCTGCTCTAGCGTTGTCCCTCATCACATACATCACTCTCTTGTTGTTAATATCCATCTGTACGAAGCGTCCTTGCACCCTCTGGAAAGTATCTACGTACTCCAGATGACCAAACATGGGATCCTTGATCACAGAGTAGGTCACATCATCAGCTGCACAGTCATCAATGGCCTGAAGATTCATGTTGGAGAAGACGAAACCGGTCCTGTCGACCATCGTCTGCATCTTGGTGGGACCCACGTTGGTGATGAGATCCGGTGGTGAGGAATCCACAATGTTGATGTTGATCTGGAAGCGCACCGGCTCGTAGCGAATGTTGTCACCGGTTAAAAATCCCCTATTGGTGCCATCTTCGACTACGAAATAGAACTCGTCTGTTTGCGATTGTCCAAAGTCATGACGATATGAGATATCGTAATTATCAATATCCTGTTGGGTGAAGCTTTGTTCAACTGGTAAGCCACCGATCAAGAGGGTTCCGAAAAGAGGCATTTGGGTGATGACAAAGAAAACACTTGATGCTGGGGTATCTGGGTCAAGAGCGTGCAGCTGTGAGAGAGAAATGATCTGGAATCCATTCTGCGCTACAGTCATTTGCTCCTTGGCCATTAGTACTGGTAACATATTATCAACAGGATTTACTACAATCTGGAATGTGTCATTGCGAATTTCATATCCATTAGTAACACTGAACGTGAATTGATCATTGTGAATCTGATCTACCCTGAGATGTTTGTAGACCAACCTTTGACCCAAGATGTCCATTTGAGAAAAGGTTGTAAGAGGTATACCAGGCCGAGCAACATCCTCCAAGTGTCCCTGTGTGGGTGATGATATGACATTGAAAACAATATCAGTCAGTTGTCCACTGTTATCGTTTGCTGATAGAAGAGTTGGAGGTATAATGACTGTCTGGCCTTCGTCAAGCTGAAGACCATTGTTGGTGATGATGAGAGGTTCACGTTTGGTGTTCTGGATCATGATCCTGAAGTTTTGTTTTCCTGTTGAGTGGATACCATCACTAACAGAGAAATAGAATCGATCTATGCCTTTGGATCCCAAGTTTGCTGAGTGGATATAGCGTATCAAGTTCTGATTGAGATCCCACTGGGTGAAGTTGGTGAGAATGTCTGTGATGTCTTCCCACCTATCCTCAGCAACCCTCCGCTGCAAGGTGCCTCTCCTGGGCAGAGAGTTCAAGGTGTAGACGAGATGATCATCAGGTGTGTCTCTATCCTCTGTCCGGAGAATGACCGCAGATAGAATGCGACTCTCACGAATGCTGATCCTGATGCCTGCATTCTTGACAATCTCTGGACTCTCATCATTGACGGGGATGATGGTGATGTTGACCGTTTTACGAACAGTGTGCTTCCCGTCCGTCACACGTATCACAAACCTATCCTCTGTCGACTCAGACCCATCATGGACGTAAGCCAGGGAGAGAGTATTGAGAAGTTGGTTGAGATTGAAGTCATAGACAGGGATGGGACTCTCCACCAGTGAGGGCACTCTATTTATAATCATGCCATGCTCTGGTGCCCTCAAGATAGAGAACATCAGCATGTCCATCGGGATATCAAGGTCATTTGCGTTAATCGTATCCGTCCTGATCTTGAAGAATGACCCTTCATGAACCGTGAAGTTGCGGACGGTCAGCGTCGGCACCTCATCATTCTGAGGCGTGATGTTCACCACGAATGTCACATTGGGCGAGGAGTGTTCTCCATCGGTCACGTACAACAAGAAGGAATCGCTGATAGGCTCCAGCCTAGTGGACAGTGACTGGACGAAGTTGATATTTCCATCAGCGATATCCTTGAAGGTGAAAGAGGTGACGGGTTTACCTGCATTGCTCTTCTCAAAGCCAGGCGTGGGTAAGATGTTCTCCAGGAAGCCCCAGACAGGTTGGCGTGTGATGACGAACTGCAGGTGCTCTGATGGAGAGTCTCGATCAACGGCACTGAGGACATCCACGGTCAGAGGTACTTTATCACCTTCATCTACAAAGAAAGGATTCCCAAAGACTATCCTTGGAGGCCTATCATCAGATGGGGCGATGTTGATGATCACATCTTTCACCGGAAGACCCGGATTGGATGGAATGCTCTTATCCGACACAATGAACGTAATCACATCTTGGATATTGCTAAGTCCTGTCTCACCACCAGTGTGTTCATAAACTATCTTTCCTCTGTTAACATCCCTCTGTGAAAACCTATTCACAATCACCCCATCTCTTAAGAGCACACCCCTGAGGGGGTGCATCACTACAACGTAATGGAGCAGCAGGTCATTGGTGTCTGGGTCCGTGGCTGATAGAATGTTTGATCCAATAGTCACACTCCCTCCCTCTGGGATAGTCAGTTCTGACTCCAGACCAGGTAACAAGGCTGGTATCTCATCGTTGACTGGTATGATATTGATATCAACGGTCTCTGTTATGGAGTGAACACCGTCTGATAAACTCAATGTGAACTGATCACTTGAATATTCAGAACCATCACTCACATAGCTGTAAATTAGAATAGAGAAAAAGTAGAAAATATGATTTGGTTTGGAAAATCTTGCACTGACTGGAAGAATAGAGGGGAAGGGGAGTAGGGGTAGAAGGAGGATTCTGTGGATGAGTAGGTTAAAGAGTGGAATTGATCTTGGGGAGAATGAATTACTTCATAGAATATAGGACAGAGAGTTGTGGCATTCCATGGTCGCCAACATCTCAGGACATGGCACATAAAGAAGAAGAAGAAGAACTCAATATTTATACCAGACTATCCAGAATACATGATGTGAATCTTTATAGCATTTGATATATTAGTATAGATCCAGTATTGTATGTACGTGTCCATTTTCGTATTTCTACCATTTTGCAGACAGTTCTAGGCCTCATTGGAATTTCTAAGGATGGAGCAACTGGTATCAATTATGCAGAAAGTAAAAGTAATAATTTAAACCAAATCATCATATATTTGTTGGAAACCACAGCCACTACTGAAAAATAGGACATGTGAGGATTAAAGTACAACAAATAAATGTACTGCAAACATTATATCTCTTTCTTTTTTTTTTTTTACTTTTACTGTTAATTTGGTTGGATTCTTTGAGAGTATTTTTAATTATTTTCTTGTCATTAACAGGATTAATACCTATAAGAGGACTGCTCTGAAAAATATCATACAAGTTTCTTCACAAAGAATTGGGTTTGCATATTATAGCCCATGCTGTAACCAAAGATTTAATGTTACATGTACATACAGTTGGGACTCCTTCCTGCCAACATTTTACTTCAGGAAGAAAGACAAGCATGAACTCTGTTTAATGTAATATATATACAATTCACTAATCCCCTCTGAGACATTTATATATATATGAGTCCTGATAGAAATGAGTGCAGTAATGTGAGTAAAATGTTTTTTCTTCCAGGTATATGTAAATTTTTGGACCCAACTATAAATGACAAAGCATTTTGATTTGGTTGTGTATTGATAGAGGTACGAGGCAAAATGCAAAGCCAGTCATCACTTCCACACAATTCAGCAGTATTACTGAAACACCTTGACATCTCAGAATAGACCGGCTCTGAGAGTTGATCTCTCTGACTCACGCTCACACCTACACCTCATCAATTATACAGTCTATCATATTTGACAGACAGGGTCACCAAGGCCAAGGGCTACAACATGCTCTTAACGTCCATACATTGTTTAGGATATGGTAGTCTTTTTCTTTTATCAGATCTTTGTAACTTTACTTGACATCAACTCATAAATGCAAAGATAATCATAAATGCATTGATAAACAGAAAGATTTCCCTTTCTCTGCTCTCAGTTGTGGTGAAATATTTGTCCTCCTTTAACCTTATTGTGTACTGGGAGCCTGGGAGACCCTCTATCCCCTATAGTCTAGTACATAGGGGGTCAAGTGGAGTATCAAGTTAAGATAAGTGACACACATGTATAATCTATATCCCTGGTTAAAATCAGGAATTCCTTGTGGTTGTGATGTTATATGTTTGTAACTCCTGCAAGATATATGTCGCTTCTTCTTTATCATTGACTTTGACCCTTGCTGAGTATGGCCTTTAATGATTACTCACACACCTACAGTGTATGAATCAATAATCTAATCTTCACTAATCCTCACAGTGAGGTTCGAAGGTGTGGTCAATTTACTGTGTATGGGTATATTCATCTTGTAAACTAGCATAACAAATTCAAACTTTTAATGTACAATACAATGCAACGTAAAAAACTGTATTTTGTATAATGTATCAAGTAGAATCGTTTATGCCATGTGAAATATTAAAAGAGAAAAACAAAATATGGGTGCTACACTGCTACATAGTTTTTGTTTATCAATCCAATAATTATATAATTCCAATGGAGTAAAATAGGAGTACAGGAACCCCTCAGTCCATGGAAGAATTGGGATATAAAGTTCAATTTTTTTCCTCCCATGTCCTGCATAATGATCAAAACCATCGCATTGTGTTTTCAAACTGTGTAGAATTCCACAATAAATTTGAACAGGAAATACTGGTATGCAAGTTTAGAGACAATATAGACATAGCTCTTTAATGTCTGAAAATAGGTCAGTAAAAGTGACAGAAAATAGAGGTGGCCCTCCAAACAAAAATCCCAATGAAGAGAACCAATTTTCAAACTGCATTGTAGTTTATCCTACAGGTTCACAATTTCACACGTGCCACAGACAGTCTGTGTGTGTGTCAGCATTTACATGTAGATCACAACCTTATTATGAACCCAGACTAAACATTGACAGAGCCAAGTCGATTTCCTTCCTTCCACATTCTACGTGACCTTGCTGAACTTCTGTCCTCAAAACACTCGACCTGCACCAAATTCAACCCAATTCTTTATATACTGCAGTACTTCCTAATTCAGATCTGATAACGAAACTCAGAGTTTTACAGACTAAACACTTCTTTCCTTTTTGATGATGATCGAAGTAGGTAAAACATGTACATGTAGCTGTATGCTTCATAACTTTGAATGTATCAGATATATTGTATGGGTACACTGTTGAACAGTTACACCAATTTACAAATTATTCCTGAATTTTTGTCTACCGGTAGATAAATGTGTGCTATCATCTTTACTTTTTGCCAGGACTATTAAAAGGGCAAAAGACAAAATGTTTGAATTCATGTATCGCTGTAAACTTTATTTATGTACAATGTGCCACTGGTAGCGTCATCTTAAAATGAAGCTTTCAGATTGGTACAAGAACAATATACCGGTATGTAGTTTTGCTTTGGAATAGTTGCCAGGGCAATAGCACCATGGCACCAAGAAATGTAGTATAAGGCATGTTGGGAATACATGTATGTTGTTACTTTTGTATATTGTAAATATTGTTATTGAGGTACATTTGGAGTAGGAAGAAATGTTTGAAAGTGAGCCAAAGAGATTTATACTTGATTATGATTTAATGACAGGAAAACTACATTGTATACAAAAGCATTACAGTTATTATATCATTACACATTTTGGGGCATAACAGCCTCCTTCTTTGAATTTTTTTTTTAAAAGTCAGTGACATCGAAGGCCTAGAGATTCTTGAAATTCTAGAGATTCTTGCTTTGACAGGGAAAATTGTGGAAAGAAGGAGTAGGGGAAGAAGGAGGATACTTTGGATGGACATTCTGCAGAAATTGTTGGAAGAGAGAGGAGTGAAAGAACTGGGAGTGGTGCTAATAGAGAAGGCTAGGAACCGAGGGTTGTGGAACAGCATGATCGCCAAAGTCAATCGATATGGCACTTACTTAAAAAGAGAGAGAGAAAGAGACAGACATTGAAATATTCAGCTTACAAAATATGAAAAGTCACAATGAAGAGACCTCTAATATTAGGCCTTACCTGACCCTACCTGCAGCAACATCAGCCATGGTGAAGCGATTCCCGACGGTCAAGTTGACTCCACCTAGGAGAATCCTTCCATGCTCAGGCAGCTCCACCAGACCGATGATCAGATCTCTGGCCTCTGTATCCATGTCCGATACAGAGAACCTCACAGGGTCAAAGGTCAAGTCTTGCCCCTCCCGGACGGTAAGGTCATTGACACGTAGGACTGGCTCCTGATTGTTGACGGGTAAGACGGTGACGTCAAAGAATTCTCCTAGGACAATGTTTCCAAAGGGATCGGATACAGAGAAGACAAAGCGGATGTGTACAGGGTTTGGACCAATCTCTTTCAAGGGTGGCATGTAGGCAATGTTGTGCGTGTTTATCTCACCCTGGGTGAATGTTCGAATGGCTGGCATATTTGGATCCTTGGCGGGAGATAGAACATCAGCTGTTGAGATGATCCTGCCAGCATTTGTCAGGCTGTGTGTGTCTATAATATAAGATGGTGTGGTGATGGTGTAGCGAAGACGCTCTTCAGTCGACTCGGCATCCGTGAAGTGCAATTGATTTTTGGTGATGTATGCAATCTCTGTTTCCCGCACAATCAAAGACTGTGTTGATCCTGATACCCTCTCTGGAGGTAGGTCATGTACAGGGCTGATCTTTGCCGTCACAACCTGTATTGGAGACTCATTAGGAGGTATCTGGTTATCTAGGAGAATTAACTCGAAGGAATCTAGGAACACCTCTCCGCCAAGATGGTGATAGTAGATCAGACCACGGAACAGATCTCTCTGGGTGAACTCTGTGACAGGATAACCAAATGTGTCTTCAGAGAACTTCTTTAAGATTTCACCTGCTACTGGTGGTTGCGTGATTCTGAAGATAATGTAGTCATCGCTGGAGTCCATATCAGCTGCCACAAGCATGAAGCGGGTAATGCGGATAGTCCTTCCTTCCTTGAGCTCAAACTGGACATTGTTGATGAGGTAAGGGGCACTGTCATCCTTTGGAAGAATATTGATAGGGAAGGTTGTCCTCACGTTGTGCCGTCCATCTGTGATCCTCAGCTCTAAACTATCCTTTAGAGTGTCACTATCATCATGACGATAGACGAGGGTATTGGAATTGATATCTGCCGCTGAGAACATGATGACAGGACGTTCATTGATGTAGAGCCTTCCATGACGTAGTCCACCAACCACTTTGGCTCGAACAAAATTCAGATTGTCATTGTCCACTAGTTGAAGATTTGTTGGACGGATGATCCTTGACTGTCCTTCTAACATGGTGAGGCCAGTATTAACCGACACTCTAGGAGCATTAGTTTCCGTGGACCTCACTGACACCATAAGATTGATAGGATTACTCTGTGCAAAGTAAGCATCATATACGGTGAACTCTGCCGTAAAGACACGCCTGTCTGGTGAGCTGACACTGGGAGGTTTGTATGCTATATTCAATCTAGACAGGTCATACTGCGTGAAGGATTCTATTGGATGGGTGTGGTCATCAAGGTTGACGATGTAGCCTTCGTCTGGCCCAAAGGGTTGACTGATAAAGAAAACAAGGTCCTCATTGGCAGTTTCATCATCTCTACCCGAGATGACTGAGGGTGTGATGGTAGTCAGGATGAACTGATCTGCCTCCATCACATACATACTCATCATGGCTGCAATAGGATGCTGATTCTGGAAGGCCTCCATGATCTCCACAGGTAGGAAGTAAACTTCCTCAGACGTCCCTTCAATCAGCAATGGATCATTCGTGGTTATAGTCATCGCAATGTAGTCTACGTTCGGAGTCGGAGGCACCAGATGCTCATAACGTATCATCCCCATCATGAAATCGTAGCAGTCTGCCGTCAGTGCTCTAACTCTCTGCTTCTCCTCACCCTCTCCTCTTGTCAGCTCCCCATATTTCGGAAATCCACTTGTAACCGTGTTGATGTGCACAGTGCACGACACATTTCTATAGCGCTCGTACGCCAAATCCAGGACTCTCATATCAATCAGATCTGAACTTCCAAAGAAGCGCTCTACTTGGAGAGGTCCCATTGGTCTTACAGTCTGATATGCTTCCTGGGAGATGTTGACCCTGAGGTAGACTGTCTCTGAAACTGTGTCCGTCTCGGTGAACTTGTAGACCCGTAACTTGACCACATCCTGGTCCAAGTATGGTAGTCCAGAATGGGTGTACTTGATCGTCTCAGGCAGAAACTCACAATCAAACACCTGCAAATCAAACAAGCAAAGTCAGGTTTAAAAACTAAAGCAGAGCAATATTTTCTTTGTAGAAACAGGTTGATATTAACAAAATTAAAGCTTTTTTTTTTTTTCTTCTCTAAAGACATCCTTGTTTTTGCCAAGGTGGAATCATCCCTACAATTCAATTGATGGAAGGGTAATAATTTTAAATGTTTTAACTACAGGACAAAGATAGGCAAAATACAAAGTTTTGATGAGTAAATGCAATTTGAATTTTTACATCTGATAGTATTTCTTTGCTAGACTATTGACTGGACATTGCTTTCCTGATTTTATGGATTATATCTTTGTGGATCCTGACATGAAAATACTGATCACAATGCAGGAACGTGAAGGAAAAGGAAATAAGATACGCAGGAAACACATTGATATTTCCTAGCTCTATCTGGCTTCATATTGGCCATGTTGTCGAGGTTGCTGGTTCCAAATAATATTGCGCTGAACAATGGTGTGATGATCACACCAGCCCTAGACACTGAATTTGTCCTGCTCCGCCATTGTTTGAATGATTTTGTGGTGAACCTCATATGCAGGCTCTGTTGTCTAGAACCAGTAACCTGGACGACAAGCCAATATAACACTAGCACTTTGGTACTCTATTGGTCTCATCATGCACATGTCATACAGTACAAGATTGGATAGACTAAATGACAGGAAATATGAGCAAGCTTCAATAACAAAGTGAAATGACCCCCTGAACTACCAACCTCTAGACAACTACCCCCTAGGAAAATAACCATCTGGACACCTTTCTCCAAGAACTACTATCCTCCAGGACAATTATCCACCAGACAAAGACAACCTGGACAATTGCCCCTTACAAAGATAATTACCCTCAATGAAGTTGCCCTTGGGGTAAGAACTGTAGATAATTTCTTAACTTGTCAAGCAATTCTTCTAGGCCTAGATGACAGTTGGCCAGGAAATAGTTATATTGGGGATAATGTTTGTTGTATGTTGTAGTTTTAAAGAGAAAGGTAGTCCAAAGGGTTACTGTCAAGAAACCTGAAAAATGCTTTATGGTGATTACCTCTGGTTGTAAAAGGCCAACTTTCTGGTAGTAGGGTTCATTGAGCGCCACCTCGACCTTGCACTTCTCTCCTTCCTCCACAGGCTCAAACACCAAGTCATCTTGTCCAAGGGTTACTGATCGACCAATGGGAACTTGCAGACCATTGTTCACTCTCACCAACTGACCAATCACATTGCTTGTAATGCCCAGGACTAGAAGGAGAGTGGTGATGCTTTTTACAGCATCCATCCTGACTGCTTGGTTGTGTGTCCAATGAGGGTCCCAGCCCAGAAGATGTGGTTATATTCATTCAGACATCAGATGTAATCAAGAGAATCTGAAAAACAATATAAAAAAACAGAATAATGAAAGCCTTAACATTTGAACCTATAGTAGAGCGGTAATCGTGTCTTAATTCATCAAGATAACAAAAGCTTACAGGTATTCACTAAAAACTTTTCTGTTTAAAAATGAACTTCTACTATCAAACACGTAAATGTAGCATCCATTCAAACTGAAACATACATGGTTTGTGAATGAGTAATATTAGTTTACCCTACATTCCCTATTATGTCTGCTACACTACTCGTTTGTCCTATTTTTCAAATCCCATCTGCCCGTTTCCTCTGTTTCCGTTGGGTATTGTAAATGGAATCTCTGTCGAGAGGAAAGGAATACATCCTGACTCACAAGGTCACAGGAAGGTCACTATGGTGGTTAAACCATGGACCTTCTTAGTAGGTCCATGGTTTAACCAATTGAATAGACTGTTTACCTGCTCAGGACAATTGCTCACATTTTGTGGTTTACCTCAATAACATTTGATTCAGAATACTAAACATACATCTATATACTACATGCATATTAGCTGAACAGTAAAATTTATTCATTAAAAACAATGAGTCTATTTTAGATGAACTGTAATACATGGCATCTGATATTAGAGATCTTTTAAAGGAAAATGTGTTTCTCTGAAAATAAATGGAAGAGGGTATAAAAAGAATGTAAGAAATCAGCAAAGTCAACAAAACAAAGGAAGAAAAAATAAATAAGGAGAAGATTGTACGAAAGAAAGATAAAGAATGTAACAAAGAGAGAAAGAAGATGAAAGAAGAAAAAAAAAAGAACACAAGTATTGTGTAAAGCTTCTTTTTTTAATGCACAAAGAAAATAAAAACAATAAAGAAAAGAAAAAAGTAATGACAGGTTTAGGAGGAAAGAGAAGAAAAACAGGACCATAAAAAGAAAAAAACTCAAAGAAGGAAAATCAAAGAGCCAAGAAAATTTGAAGAGAAAACAAAAGAGACCATAACATGTATGTAATATCACACAAGAAGATTTGTATGAAGGATGGAGAAATACATTACAGTGCGTCCCAGAAAAAACGAAACCAAGAATTATCATAACTTTATCACAATGATAATTAATAAACGACACATATTTGGAAAGCTTAGATCCTCCTCTTTCATCTGATGCAACTCATATGATGCATATTTCATGCATGAGTGATTAAAAGCAATTTGAGGAAACCAAAAAGTCATTTGGCGGACGGTATCTGAATTTCAAAGAGAAAATCACATTTCTAGAAAGTTCATTTTCTGCCCTTTCATATGACACCTCAATCAAAAAAATATGAGCCAGGAATAATAAAGTTCTGTTTACTTAAAGTAATGCTTACATTTCCATAATTTGATTAAATGAGTTCGTTTTCACTGGCTGCCTGCTGTAGCAACTAACAGAGTTGATAAAGGACTTAACTCTGTCTCGTTGACGATCATCCATGAATGAAGTCTTATCATCTTTTTTGTGCATGACTGATCGTCAACGAAATGGAGTTAGGTCCTTTGTCAACTCAGTTTACTCTTTAGCTCGGCTTAGGCTGCCATTCTCATGAAACTAGACCTACACTGTAGATCTATGTAAACAAAAGCAATTTTGGCGGCTGTTATGATAACTGTATCTGCCTATTTTCTCTCTCATTGTATCTTTCTTAGCTCGCTCTCTCTGTCTCTGGTTTTTACTTGCACTGGACTTAGCATATTTTACTGTAAATTAACAAGTGCTTTGTCCACACACCATTCCAGCAATTCATGACACTCCTTGTAGTTACTCGCCTCACCTACCATCCCAGTATAGCTTCCCGAGTGAGCTCCCAAAGTGATTACCCAACCACCAAGTCTCTCTCTCTCTCTCTTTCTCTCTCTCTCTCTCTCTCTCTTGTGAATGTGCTCAACAACAAAAAAAATTATTATGTCTCTTCCTTATATAATAAATGATAAAGGTTATCCTGATCTCAAGAGTTCAATCTCAGACAACAATTTAAAAAAAAAGGAATTCATTATTCTTTTCAATCTCACAGACAATACAAATCATGATAATTATGTCCAAAAAAAAGTAGAACAAAAACCATTTTTCTTACACTCTACTCGAGCTAGAATCATTGAATTTGCAGCTAGAGTCTAGAGTCTAGACCCTACTAGATCTACAGCCATTTACATTAAATCTAGGATTTTACTCAAAAACTCCTTTTGGCTTAGTAACGCACACTAACTTACTAAGTTACTGCCACCTTATCAATATTACAGAATTTAGCCATGCCCCTGACTCAAAACAATACAAGACTGCACTGATCCCGCACCCAGCTCCAGCACTGCTCTAAGGCGAGCCACGGCTACTGCCGCGCCTAGCCTAGCTAGACACAGGTCCAGGCATCGCACCAGCAAACATTACAAGGCTTGACTCGAGCCTTGACAAGGCCGCAAGACTTGATCTTGACTTGTCCCAATTAGCTTAGAAAATTAACTTTTTGACACTTGAATCGTAAGGAAAGTTAACAAATCTCAAACATAAACATTATTACAGACATTATATTAGACATGTTGAAAAATTGATAACCATGAACCTTTAGGTAGCTCCACTTACCAGCGACAGGCATTGATCTACGCTGTTGTTTTGTTTTGACAGGTACTGCTGGTGGTGGGTACTACTGCATATATCGGTGCAGCTGATGCATGCTAGTGCTGCATGCATGCAGCGCACAATTATACTAGCTAGCTAGCCCGCAACATTTCCCAAATTAGTCGATAATTTCAGCAAAGGCTGCGTGTAAACAAAGACAATCGACAGCTTGGTCAGTATCCAAACACCGTTCTTTTACGAATAATTTATATTCATTTAATGAAATATTGTGCTCATATAATTTCGATGATTTCCGGTGTCCGTATAAATCAATTAGCGCACCACATCTTCAGCGATTAGAAGACAAAAGCTGATTGAAAGTTGATGTGCCGTAGTCGCAAGCCGCTGTAATGGTCCCATGTACTCGGATAAGTGTAAAGTGAAAGTTGAAGTTAGATCTTAGTTTATAAATTGTACGCAGTGACTAAGCTTGGCTGTGTATTGAGACGGGCAATACTTCGTGCACTGCTGTGTACTGCAGCTGCAGTACATTCTCGCAATATTTTATAAACCTGCTGTATGATACTTTCAAATTATATCATAAACAATTTAATGAAACATAGACCTATTTGTTGATAACAAATAAATAGACTAAGTTAAGATTAAGAAAGAAACTTACAAGTTTCATTGGTGAAAATTTCTTTCATCCTTGGTTTTCCGGATATTTGAGCGCTAATTCACTATAATAATAATGGCGCTTGTTCAGAAACCTATCCAAAATTTGACCTCTAACTCCGGCGTGGAGATACCCCACTAAAACATACCAAAAATGAAGTAAATATTCATCAAATGTTTAAATAAAGATCATGAGTTAAAACTTATAAAAGTCGTTATGTTTAATGTTTCATGTCAATTTTCTTCTTATCTTTGGAGTATTTTTTTGAAAAACATTGATATTAGTATACACTTTTTCACAGGTTTTACGGCAAACCGCTGCACAATACGAGTGCATACCGATTTTGGGTTGCGGGCGGCCGGGTGCCTACCGTAATGTCTCAGATCCTCATCACGGTAGATAACTTCACACAGGCGACTGCAATCTTCGTTAAGTTAATCTAAGCAATTCATCATTACGATCGCTAACTTCGCTAACAAAAATAAAGATACATCTTCAGTAAAAATGTGACATTGGTTGAAACTGTATGTTAACATAAATACCAAAACAAGTTGAAAGTCTTTTATACCTTGAATATACCTTGAAGTCCACACCTCGCCATCGTGGTGATAAAGATCCCGTAGATAGTGTGGTGTGGCAGGGTTAAGGGGGTCCCATGGGACCCATTTAAAAACCCAGGTTGGATAGTTGTTGTTTGAAGCTTAGGAGTGTGGGAGCATCAATGGCAGTTTGTGGCAGCTTGTTCCAATTGCTTACAACTCTCTGGCTATAGAAATTTTTCCTGATGTCAAGGCGGCTTCTTGTTTTGGCTAGCTTCATGGAATGGCCTCTTGTTCTTTCATAGTTAGCAAACTGAAAATAATTCTCGGGGTTGGATTTGTCGATTTGCGTCATTATCCTGTAGGTTTGCAGTAGGTCTCCTCTCTCTCTTCTTTTCTCCAAAGTAGTTAGTTTCAGTTTTGCTAGTCTCTCTTCATATGGTAGATGTTGAATACTTGGGATGAGTTTTGTGGCTCTTGCTTGAACTTTTTCCAACTTCTTTTTGTCTTTTTCCAGGTAAGGACACCAGGCCTGAATGGCGTAATCTAGGTGGGGTCTGACGAGTGACTTGTATAGTTTCAAGATCACTTCCTTACTCCTGAATGTAAAGTTGCGTTTTATCATTCCTAGTGTCCTGTTTCCTTTATTTGCTGCTGCAGCACACTGGGAGGCAACTTTCAGGGACTTGTGTACTAGAACCCCTAGATCTTTTTCTTCTGTACTTTCTTTCAGCTGGGAGTTGCCCATCGTGTATGTGTAGTGTGGGTTGTGGGTTCCAAAATGCATCACTCCACATTTGTCTGCATTGTACCTCATCTGCCATGTATTTGCCCATCTGTGAAGGTGGTTGATGGAGTTTTGCATGTCTGTTCTATCATTGTCTATTTGCACTGGATGGATTAGCTTGGTGTCATCAGCAAATTTGCTAACTGTTGATTTGTCAGTTAGCCCAATTTCGAGGTCATTCATATATATCAAGAAGCACAGTGGTCCCAGGACTGATCCTTGTACTACAGAGCTGGTAACAGGTCTCCAGCTAGATTTGGCTCCCTGGGTAACGACTTTCTGCTTGCGACTGTTGAGCCAGGCTGTTATCCACTGTAATATGTTACCATCTATTCCATGGGCCTTGATCTTTGTTACTAGTCTCTTGTGTGGGACGGTATCGAAGGCCTTTGCTAGGTCAAGGTATACTACATCTACTGGTGTACCATTGTCTACTGATTTGGTGATGATTTCTAGGTATTCTAGCAAGTTGGTAGTTGTAGATTTCCCTTTCCTAAAACCATGCTGGGTATCCTGTATCAGACCATATTTATTCAGGTGGTTAGTTATTTTGTCTTTGATAATGCTCTCTAGTACTTTACAGCTGACTGATGTTAAGCTGATCGGTCGGTAGTTCTCCGGTTTAGATCTTGCCCCTTTCTTGAATATTGGAGTTATATGGGCTGATCTCCATTCCTCTGGTACATGTCCTTCCTTTAATGATTTTCCAAACAAAATGGTGTATGGAACACTCAGTTCTTCAGCCAGGGGTCTTAGAAAAGCCGGTGGTATATCGTCTGGACCCGCTGCTTTGGATGGGTCGAGGTGTTCAAGCTTCTTTTTCACACAATCTTCAGTGATTTCTATCTCAGCAAGGATCTCTTCATTAGTTCCTATGAAGACATTCTGGGGATTGGGAACATTTAGGTCCTCTTCAGTGAAGACTGCTGCAAAGTATTCGTTTAAGATATGAAAGATGTGAAATAATGAGTACCGGTAAGAAAAGATGAGAGTTCAGGTGACAAACTTACACAAATTAAAGGTTTTTGTGTGAGAATTTATGAATTTCTTGTCCTATTATCATCAATTTATTTTATCAGAGATGGATGAAGAAAGAGGAGAAAACCTGCTCGGAGAGAGTGGCCTGATCATACCCATGTAAGTGAATATTTGATCTGTCACATGATCAAATTTTGTAAGTATCTACCTGATGCTCACTAAAGCATTTTGGAAATTTTAAATAATGTAAAGTAAAATTGTAGGGTGGATTGCTGCTCATTCCTTTACAGATGCTGTGTGGAAAGAAATGTAAGAATAGTATGGTTTGGAAAGTCTTCTCTAATAGAATTGTGCATAAATATTATTCTATAATGTTGGGAAGCAACATAGTCGAAACTTGATTGAAAAATAGATTTAAGTTGAATATTTCTAATAGATAAAGTGACCCTTTTTGTTATTTTTATCAATGTCCTATGACTAAGAAGTTAGTTCTTAAATGCTCTCATATTCAATTTATGGCCAGCAATAGTGAACACTATAACGGTGGACCAAAGTGTGATGCCACATGTTTGTGTATTTCCATATACTGACATCAATGAGTAGATTTGTCATTGCCATCACAACCCTGTTTTAGGGTTAAGATACATTTGCGGAAGAGGAAAGAATACACTTAAATATTATAACTATATTTTGTTTATTCCTCTAGCCTCCTCTGTTTCACATGATCAGCAGCAATGGTAGCAGCAGTGATTGTGCAAGCAGCCTACCCAGTGGCTGCACCACGCCTACCACCACACCAACCCCGACCACACCCAAACCCAAGGTGGAGTACATCTGCCGTTGGGAGTCCTGCGGAGAGGAGACGGACACCAGCGCCGACCTGGCCGATCACGTTCGAGCAGAGCACGCCCAGAAGCAGATCAAGAAAGGAGGAAAGAAGTTTGTGTGCCTGTGGGACGGCTGCAAGGTTTACAACACGCCTTCCATGTCTGCCACCTGGCTTCCGAAGCATGTGTTGACGCACTGCGGGGATAAGCCGTTCCGCTGCGTGTTCGCAGGATGCAACCAGAGCTACAGGACAGAGAAAGGTCTGATGAGGCACTGTCAATCTCATCTCAATGCTGCCAAGCAGAACTCACAACAGAGAACCCCAAAGAGCAAGGAGGAGAGTCCAGGCAAAGCTCTCAAGAGGAAAAGGATGAGAATTAGAAGAAGATTGTCAATGGGTAAGAATTAATGATTGCCACACATTTGCAGACTGGAATGGATTGAAAGCTTGTTTTAAAATTGCTTCATTCTTAATATTAATGTACATGTACATGTACTCACAAAGTATAGCAAATGTGAAAGCTTTTATGTACCATAACATTTTATACAACTCCCTTTCCATCATATAAAGAATTGAATTGTTGAATTGTTTAGGGGAGTTATTCAAGAACAACAACAAAAAGGGATGTGCTATTTTACTGTGCATCAAAACAATCTGAATGAAAAAGTTGATACAGATTATTTTAACTCTTGTATTATACATTGTACAAGCCTAGACTGAAACACTCTTTTACTGATAAGCTCAACAAAATTTAATTACATATTTCAACTTCTTTCCAAATTTGTAGTTTCAGCGAAGACGGATGATTTCTTTGATACCCGTATGGCTGACGCTGTTCATCATCGTCTGGTCGAACTCAATATGAAGACAAAGATAGACACTGAGGGCAGCGGGAGATCGCTCATCTTCAAAAGCTCTGTAAGTTGTTCTTATTTTTTAAACTTAAGCTTGTGACACCATGAGATGAGATTTTGAGGTAGAATTTGCTTTTGCAACCAAAGATCATGGGTTTGAATCCAGCACAGGTGGATGACTAAACCTGGCATTGTGTGTTATAACAATGCTATTACCTGTTCCACAGATGCGAGAGAGGTTACAGTGGAAAACACTCTGACCCCCCCCCCCCCCCTCCCCCCCCCCCCCCCCCCCAGATTAGATGTTAAATGGAGACCCCATGGTGAGGAGAGTCACTGCATTTGCATTTTTAAAAAAAACACTGCACTCTTTGTAAATGAAACAAAAAGTAGGGCAAAATTGGGAAACCCCAGTTTAGTTGTAAACCTGTACACCCCCAATCAGTTATACTGGGAGGAGAGACCTAAGGGTGATAGTGACGATGTTCAGTTTCCCCTCCAGGCACTGGTGACACCATATCATCAATATATGTAATGATATATATATATATATATATATATCTGTAATGTTATCCTTCTACATATATTTATATATTTCATTTTTTTTAATACTCTGTATGTATTGTATATGTTTTTTATGAAGAATGGAATAAGTACCATACCATACCATAATCAAAATAATAATTATAATAAATAAATTCTTATTATTTATATAGCACATTAGACTAATTAAGTCATTAACAATAATAATAATAACTCCTCTTTGAGACAGAATAAAAATCAAGTTTTAACTCTATGGCGTTAAAAGATGGAGGGTATCACTCACATGAATGTGGTAAAACTGTAGAGTAATAGAAATCTCATTGATAAAGTTATTGCACACAGTGTAAAGTATAAGATAAAATACAACGCTATACCTCTGTAAAATGGATGAAACCATCACATTTACGATGGGATGGGAGAAGGGACTATATCTGTGCCTCTTGTGCTAGTATGATAGCTAGAACTGATTGAACATTTATAAGCAGGCAAAACTTGTCCACCATTCATGCAAGAAAATGCTTGTGTTAGTATATAAAAATAGGGGAAGTTGACAGATGTGATTTTTATTATTTTGTTTTACTCTGCAGGTTGTTGGGAAAAGAACAGATGAGAGCGGGGAATCCATGGTCCTCCTTCGTTGGTCACCAACTGATGTGTAAGTTAAATTGGAAAAGAACCTTGTATTGTATTAGTCTTAACAAGCAAGTTGAAAGTAGTTCCACAAACATTCTACGCATAACTATAATCCTGATCATATTAATGATAATGATAATATTTTTTTTTTAAATATCATCTTCTAGTTACAATTCATCAATCAAAACATTTAACAGTGTATTATTACCCCAGCTATTGGATTCAATTGTAATTCTGCATTTATAATACACACTACACTCCATTGGAAACACTCTAGGTACTTCGCCAGTTTACGAATGCGCTTGTGCTAATCGTATCCCATTGATGTTCGCAGCCTACTAGTAGATACCCATATAGATATGGATGGAGAAAAGCAATGAAAACACAAATGCCTTGCTTCAGGACATAGGTGTCATGCTAGAATTCTCATTCCCAGTCAAGTGATTAAGCCACTGCTACATTCTTAGATATTCAGAGGCAAATAATAATAATAATATTCGGTTCTTGTATAGCGCATATCACATTATATAACGTCTTTATGCGCTTCCAAAGAGCTTCGGAAATTATTACTCAAATGCCATTAGTCATCAGTCAGATGGAGTCACTTTCATTATTTTGCTTACCAAGTTTGTGTAAACTACTATAAGCACATGTACAAATGACATATGTTTGTATCGTATAACTGCATTTCTTTGTCAAGGAAGTTACTATATCTACGTTGGTTTGCTTGACCCTGTCGGTTGCTAGTTTATGATGTGTAGTTTGAAAAGTTATTTGATGCAATGAATTCTTAAAGAGAAGGTTGAATTCTGGGGAGAGGTGAAAAATAATTTGTGAGTGTTAACATTGTTAAATTATGCAAGTGTGGAAGAACATTAAAGAAAAAATGTGCTTGTTACTTTACAAAAATTGGGCCTAATTTCTTATCATTTTGATGACTCCAGAACCTTGCAGTTCACACCAATACTGTTATGTTACATGATACACTTTTTTCTGATCGATTCCACACTGTTTCTTTCACAATGCAATCGCATGACCGGGGGGGGGGGGGGGTGTTTTCACAAAGATCCTAAGTAGAACTTAACTTTAAGTTGGACTTAAAAATTATGGACAGCCATTGGAGTCTTTAAATGAAATATATTCAAAAGCAGAAATCCAAGTATTTTAGACTTTTTATTAATTCCACATCCAGAACATGAAATCTCCTTGATGATAGAAATATGAATGATTTCAATAAACAATGAATGCCTTTCAAAATAACTTTTGCAAAATATTTTCAAAGATGCTAATGGCTTTCCATATTTTTTAAGTCCAACTTAGAGATAAGTTCAACTTAGAATCTTTGTGAAACACCCCCCTGAACTCAACTTTATCTTTAATTGCACTCATCTTGTTTCTTTGTTGACAGCATCCCAGACTCGTGGATCAAGGATTCGGAGCAGAAGGATCATGAAGAGTGTGCCATCCCTATCAGCAGTGTGCCTCACGAAGCCCTACACAACATAGGACCAGGACTACTCCCTCCAAAGAGACAGAGAAAACAGAGGAGAAAATGAGATGATGAATAAACCTCCTCTTGATATAAGGAACTTATGGACCTTACCTCATGGACTACTGAATTCATTCACTCCCTAGGCTCACTGGATGAATGATCCACTTCTAGTATGCAATGGGTTAAGAGTACTCATACTCTGATGGATGCCAGAAGAAGAAACTCCTCTGTTCCATCTTGCGAAGTTGATGTACACATGCCAGCTCATCGTATGACTTGTCCTATTTTGTTGGTAACAGTACAGTCAACAACCATTTGAAAGTTAGAATGAACCCTATCTGTACAATTTCATTTACTTTTGGAATAATGAACCTAATATTTTTTTACCAAATTCATGAAAAAGAACTTTTTTTAGTGTGATAAACTGATAATTGTATTTTCTCATACTTGTGCATGAAACATTGTCCTTTCATTGATTCAACACCTGGCAATATGTATTTTTGTTCCTGTGCACTACTAGTTGCTGTTTCTCTATCTTGCTTCTCAGGGTGGAATTTTCATTTTCATTTTTTTAATGAAAGAATTTCAAAGGTGTTTTTAGTAATTTTCATGTGAATGGCATTGATTAATTCATTGTTAATGTCCTATTTTAAAATTATTTTCCTGTATACCACAAGAACTAGAACTGAAATAAAATAGGGATTATCTAGAAAATTGCTTATTGTTCTTGTTTGCAATATAATACCATCCATGTACATGTATGCAGTTTGCCAAATCTATGCTGTTCTAGTGCAATGACTGTCCAGTTTCTGATTAGACAGTAATTTTTATGTCAAAGTGAAATTCTTACATCAGTCTTCAACCTAACCCACTAGCTTGAAGATGGAGTTATTTTAGTATTGGATAATTTGTCCTGCTCGTTTTAATAGGTTATCATTTGTTGTCCGTGATGATTTGTTTTTAAGCAACATGTATCAGAAGTTGTGTAAAAGAAGTGGGGGCTGACCAATGTTACATTTCATTTTGAGACAGAAGAGCATGGATAGATCCATGCAAGATAATTTTAGACTATGATGATGCTGATGATTTGAATTTGTCCATCCTGTTTTTTTATACAAATTATAAAAATTAGATTTCTTAGCAGATAATTTGCATTTAAATATTGCTATATTCACATGGATCCCATTCTCGTTCGTAATAGTCCATTATTTGAAATGTTATATTATCTTCTCTTTCACTTTCTATTAAATGTAAAATGATTTCCATTTATATGCTTATTTTTTATTTTTTAACTTTGACATTACAACTTAGAAATGTCTTTATAATGATCCCAGAAGTTTTGTATATAAATTTTACATACTTTCCATGCGAATAAGACTTGTCTTTTGTTCTTACGTTAATGTATCCCTAGTTTGAAAAATAATCTGAGAGATGAATGCTATGAAAAGTGATACTGAGATTTTTTTTTTTTTCCTACAAAGAAGAAAGTAATTTATATGATTCAACAGATATTGAAATTCTAAATTTTTAGGGACTGCTAGCCATTCCATTTGATGCCTTGACCTATAACCGAGCTTAACTTTAAAATGTTAAGTAATCGCATTTGTAGGGATAATACAAAGCTACATGAACATGCATCAAGAGAGAGAGAGAGAGAGAGAAAGAGAGAGAGAGAGAGATAGTGAAAGAGGGAGTTAAGGGGAGAAAGATGTTGAGAAGTGTTGGATGAGAGCAAGTCGTATTTTCTGTTCATTGTATCAATGTCAACTTGATTGGTTTTCAACTGGTAGATAGTTTATTAAAGGCTGAAAGAAGTTTTCAAACGGAGGCAAGGAATGTATTGATCATGTCAATTCACAATTCAAATGAATATATACTAGGGGATAAAACAGAGTCTTGTTTACAATCAACCAAACATACAATTTAATTGTCCGGGTGGGGGGGGGGGCTTGCTTTGGGGTTAATTGTCACGTTGGAATGATTGTTATGTGGGTAAATTGTCCCGGGGTAATTGTCCAGGCGGAATGTTCAGGCAATCTATTGCCCTTTCGTACAACAATATCAAAGTTTAAACAACCAAGGAGTTTATACTCAAAGAAACTGTAAACAATAAATATGAAAAGTCAATCAACTTTAAAAAGAGTTATCATTACAATTATAGATACCATGATAACATATTTATCCACCTCTCCTCTCCCCCTTAACAACACATATCTCTTACCCTCCCTCGCATGTGCCCTAATCTAAGGAGGCCGAGGGCAGTTTTTCTCAAATTCCCAAAATATATATATATATATATTTCTTTTGAGGTTAGCCTTTGCAGGTACCCTTTTTGTCAGTGCCACCACCCTCAATTTGAAAGTCACTCGATCAGCCGCCTTTTGGGGTTCCCTCCTCATTTATTGTATTAAGTGGATAACATGGGTGTCGATCCCGGGGGGATGGGGGGATATATATCCCCCCCCCCCCCCAAAAAAAAAAAAAAAATATTTCAGGTGGGGGGATGGCCTGTACAATCATCCCCCCCCCCCAATAATTCACCATGAAAAGAAAAAAAAATGAAGAGAAAAATTAATGATGAGAGCCCGATGAGAGTAGTTATAGTTATTACTCGCAAGATGACCATCAATATACACATTTTGCTATCTCATTTTCATAATATATACATGTATACAAAGTAAATGAGACAACCGTATATGAGACAAGAATAAATTGAATTCTCGCTCATATGGCTTCATCAGGAATTGATGAATTTATTCAATTTGTTCAATCAACAGCATCATAGAAATGCAGTGCGCCAAAAGCAAAGACGCAGCGTCAAAAAGCAACGAGCTAAATGTTAAGCGCGAAGCGCAAAGGTAGCAATCTGCTATGCACATCAGACAATCCTGGACAGTGTAAAAATAGATGAACTCTGTGACGAATTCGTGATGAGATCGGAGACAAGGTGAAAGATTTTCGGACATTAGTAGGACTTAAGAGATTTCCGTTAACCCTTTTTAAAGTTCACGTCATTGTATCTTTATTTTAATTTTTTCACTCATTTTATTTCCTGATATTTCCTAAAAAAATTTTGGAGAAAGATTATTATGTCACAACTTACTTTTGTTTTATTAAAAAGCTTATGTAGGCCTATGTCACTGGCGTACTGGGGGGGGGGCTTGGGGCGCAAGCCCCCCCCCCCCCCCCCAATAAAATCCAACCATGACTTATTTTCAATTTCATACAAGTGATTTATAAATGTTCGTGATATCACATGATTTTCAACATAATTCGCGTTTCTCCATTTCAGTTGCAAATTGACACATTCCCAAATAGCCAGGAAGAGCATATATTTTGTATAGTCACTGATGGGCCTAATTAGCGGCCGTTAACACTAACAGTAGCATACAATTCCTTTCGAGAAGCTATTGCGACAAGCACTGCCGGGAGGTAATGCTACCCACCACTCGGGCTGTGCATGCAAAGATTTGTGAACGAACGTTCCATACGTACATGTGGGGAAACTGAATTCTGAATTAATATAGAGAACAGTACAACGAATCGTCTTCTGATCTCTAATAATTTAGTGAAACGTGAAAGCTTCCGCGCGTAGCGCGGGATGGGCGAAAATGATTTCAAACGTGGATTCAGGGTAATAATCAAATGGAACGTCAAAGCTACCGCGCTTTGCGCGGGAGGGGGAAAACTGAATTCAGACAAGGACACGATACAACGAATCGTCTTCCTTCTCTAATCATTTGATGAAACGGTAAAGCTTCCGCGCTTCGCGCGGGATGGGCGAAAAATTAATACAGACAAGGATTAAGAGTAATAATTTATTGAAACGTCAAGGCTTCCGCGCTTCGCGCGGTAGGGGGAAACTGAATTCATGAAGGACACGATACAAAAAAATCATCTTCTTTCTCTAATAATGTAATAAAATGTGAAAGCTTCCGCGCTTCGCGCGGGAATAGGCAAAGATGATGATTTCAGACGTGGATTCAGAGTAATAATCAAATGAAACGTCAAAGTACACGATACAACGAATCGTCTTATTTTACTAATAATGTAATGAAACGTGAAAGCTTCCGCGCGTAGCGCGGGATATGCGAAAATGATTTCAGACGTGGATTCAGGGTAATAATCAAATGGAACGTCAAAGCTACCGCGCTTTGCGCGGGAGGGGGAAAACTGAATTCAGACAAGGACACGATACAACGAATCGTCTTCCTTCTCTAATAATTTGATGAAACGGTAAAGCTTCCGCGCTTCGCGCGGGATGGGCGAAAAATTAATACAGACAAGGATTAAGAGTAATAATTTATTGAAACGTCAAGGCTTCCGCGCTTCGCGCGGTCGGGGGGAAACTGAATTCATGAAGGACCGAGATAGGCAAAGATGAATTCAGACAAGGATTAAGAATCGAAATGGTACATCGAATCTTCTTCTTTCTTTAGTAATCTTATGAAACGTAAGAGCTTCCGCGCTACGCGCGGAAGAAGGAGAACTTGATTCAAACAAGGATTAAGAGTCGAGAACGGTCCAACGAATCGTCTTCTTTCTCTAATAATTTAGTGAAACGTCAAAGCTTCCGCGCTTTGTGGGGGAGGGGGGAACTCCCCCTCCCTGCGCCCAACCCCCTTGGGAGCTCGCTTCGCACGTTTTGCGTGCTCACTACCGCCCCCCCCCCCCCCCCTAAAATGAAATTCTGGCTACGCGCTTGGGAGGGGGGTGCAACTTGCCACACGCTTCTACCTCTTGGTTGCTTTGATCCATTGCCGAAAATATTTTGGCACCTACCATCTCCCCCAACCACGGATACAAATCGACACCCTTGGTGGATAAGCTACAAAAACGGAAATAACAAATCTCTGTCAAAACAGTTTGTGACCAGTTAACCTACTTATATTCAAGATTTAATCTACTTACTCGTTAAACAATAACAAGAACAGGCGACAGTTAGACCCTAATAGCTGCTTTAAGGAAATCGGAAATTTATATTTAAAGAGTTTGCGGTGCTTTGGAAATGAATGGATATTAGTAGATTAATGATCAGAAATCAGATTCTTATAAAAGAATACATTAACCAATAACACCATTACACTTTCTTTCATTCTATACATTCAGATGTTTTGCATAACATAGCGTTGGTCTGAAAAGAATTGAATTTTAAACATTTTCCATCATTATTTATTGAGAAATTATTTTAATTCAACTTGTTCCTATCCTTGTCATACACGCGTTGCCTCCACGAC